CTGGCACAACTCCACGGACATGTTACTAAATATTAGTAACATTAACGGATTAATTATTTTTTCCAAGTAGTATTTGCAGACTTTCAATATCTATACACATTGTTTTTATGCCCACACTGTCTATGTACATTGTTTGTACACCTGCAGTGTATGTGTACATTGTATACCTTGAATGTCAACATATGTGACAATTTTACTGAATAAATATCTACCTAACTCAACCTATCACTTAACTCTTCCCCTCTTAACTTTAATGACAATTTCCTCTCCAAAATTTAAGTTTTACAATACAGAATCATAAAAATCCGTCACTATCTTGTCATCCACACGTCCCTACAGACTCCATATATTGTCGTGTACTACACAGGGTATTTAATCCCCGTCTTTCCAATGTCTTCACCTAAAACAACTTCAGTCTGTGTCCCATCAATTACTACAATACTAATAATACTGTTTAACTTTATCATTTCCACTGCTCTCATTTTCTTAAGGTCATTCTTAATTAGGACTTATTACACAATAAGTTGGTCATCGGTCCAAGTGAGACAATTTGGGGGAGGTCTTCATAAACTTTTCCAAACCCATAGCATATACTTTATCTCAATGCTTTATAAGGACAATTATTACCACTAAACAAAGTGATGAATGCTGAATTTAAGTCTGTGTCAAAATTCAAGGTAGAGTTTTGAAGATGAAGAGTTAAACGTGACAACAAGCATCATGGTGCTTCAGTTTCATGTGTCTGTACTTTAGAAGGTAACATCTTCAGATCCTTACACAAAGGCTGGATTAAGCTCTCCAAAATACAATCTTCCTCAGTATACAACACTTATCATTAAACTGTTATGATAAATACCTCAAACTCTTCTTAATCAAATTATTGTGTTCTAAATGTCTGCTTGTGAAGTTTAGATGTGGACAGATCTCACTGGGATGAAACTAGTGATGGATGTACAAATGAATTTACAGGTGTAAATTAATATGGCCCCTGCATATGAAGTGGAAGCCTAATTAAATATACATTTATACATATTACTGTACACGCTTTTCATTTTGCTTTTGCAAAATGAGAAGCATTTAATGTTGTTCCTGCATTACACTTGATTAAAAATGTTAACAATCACTCAACAAATTACCCACTATCCTAAAGCAAGACTGAATTTGAATGTAATACTAAATAAAAGAATTAACATTTATAACTGCTAGTATTTCAATATGTGGATCTATAAACAGTATAAAACAAAGTACCATACACACTTCTCATAAAGAAACTTGTAGCTTCAGTTGTAATAAAACTCCATCAGTTGTCTCAGTGTGCCTATAATATTTATGTAAAGCTTCATGATAATGATAAACTCTGAGGAGATAATTACAAAAAGTGCTTGTGGCAACCCTAATGTACAATACAGTAGTACAGTATACAGGTACTGGATAAAAAAAACCACCTGCATAAATGACCTGGAAAATACCACCACTAAGCATCCTTAGGTTAAGCCTTCCACTGACTGACAATATTAAGTGTCAAGAAGCTGGGACACATGAACCATGACAACAATGCTCATGCAGCAACTATAAGCAGGCTTTCCACCTTCCCTTCTGGTGGTTGTCAAAAGACTAGAGAGGCTTCATAATAAAACACTCTCAGGAAGGTTCAATTCATTTTAAAACTGCTCATGATACACACTAGGTTCATACTTAGAACCTGCACATACAGTGTCTGCTGTATCATCAAGTCACTATTACTGAGGGAAGAACTGTGTTCTCCAAGTTGTATCTTACCAAAGAAAAATTAAAATGTTAAGAATAGTTGAATACAATCTAAGAGTTATTCCTGGGTATGACAGACTGACCCAGGCTACTTTGTGTTCTTAACTCTAAGTCAGGAGAATTATCACCATGAAGGAAGCAGTACTGTACTGTACTGCATCTGTAAACTGATAAGTCAACTCAGCTACCATAGGTGAGGAAGCAATTATCTTAACTGTTAAAATTTCTGTCTCCAACTTAACAGGTACTGAAGTGTCTGTGTGTGGCTGTGTTATTATCAGGCATCTTTTATGTTTGTATAAAGATGTGATAATCTCTTTAATTAACTAAGGTGATTTACTGATGAGGCGATACAGTATAGCTCTTACACTGTAATGTATCACATGTCTCTTGCTACACAGTTTTCATTTCACTTGTTATTAATGGTTCCCATATACAATTCGATCCGATTTTCTCCCACATATAATCTAATCAAATTTGCTTAAGCTGTAACCATTGTTAACTCCCACGAAAAGAACATTTATTACAGATCTTTTCTTCCTTGCTGAAAATAACTGATACAGAATATTGTTACACATCACAATATATACAGTTACCAGTATCAATATTCTGAGACTAGTTATGCATATGCTCCTTTACATGGCCCTTAAAACGCAACAAACTCGTTACTTAAATCCTTATGTGCAATAAACTCCAGCACAATTTACAAGCAATTCCAGAGAGTTAGTTTCCTTGCCATTTATACAACAAAAAATATCAACAAGGATTAGAGATTCATAAGTCAAATACTGTACATGGATGTAGAGAGCAAAGTGACCGGGTAAAAATAAAACTAAAGTGTGCGTACTGTATATACAATAAGGATACTGTATACTGTACAGGGTGTATTAATGAAAATGTTGAGCATATCCAAGACTTTTGTGAGGGGAGATTACCAAAATTTGATTACCTAAATGCAGTAATTAACTGTTTGGAAAATTAATGTGTTTGTCTAGTAACTGTAATGCTTCTAATCATTATCAGAAGGAAGGAAGATGAGATTCTTTGTCACAAGAGGGCAGTGCCTTCACTTTCTCTCGTTGTTTACACAACTTCATCAAAGCAGGTGATAATATCTGCATGATCAACACTCCATGGTGTTTACTCACTTAACTTTATTTTCATGCGTGTGTGTGTGTGTGTGTTTTATTAACAGGCGTCTTTAGACTGCTGTAACTGTTCATGACCAAAATGGGTCATAAATTTGTGGAAGTGATACATTGATGACTGTAATATTTTGATAAAACATAATATGTTGGGGAATTTACATGGTGGTGGACATATTATGTTGGTTGATGTAATATGCTAAAAATATTAATATTTTGGTGAATGTAATATGTCAGTGAGCAAATTATGCTCATGGACACAATATACTGGTTGATATAATATTCTGGTGAGAAAGATGAAGGCATGAGAGAGTTCATCGACAGGTAAACAAACTGAAATACTGTACAGGTACGGGGAGATGATGATGTTTCCGTTACCTTAAATATTACGTAAGAGAGGATGGCTATCAGATGACAACTACCCAACCTCTTCATAGAATTAAAATTATACTGAAGACATTTTCAAATGGAGATCAAGATACATCAGAAAAAAAACTTTAGTACACAAAATCCTATGAATAATATAGAGTGGTTCTTGGAGAATGTTAGAATAACTTTGAACCGAGAGTATATACAGTACTGTAATATAAACCTGCTCAGAGTATTGAAATTCAGTCAAAATTCTCTTCACTTAAGTTAATGTGTGTTGGCACTAACTTTGTACTGAAACTTATAAGAAATATATCAGTTACCAAGCTGCACAGGACTTGACTACATTACGATGAGACAAATATAATTCCAACAGCATTATGGTGAGCAATCTAGCCTGACCCTTCTCATGGTAATTAATAAAAGCAAATCTGTACTGCTCCCTAAACCACCAAAGTTATATGACCAAGACCGGTGTACAGTAACTAGAAGAAATCAAAACTACAGAACAAGTAATCCTGATGACATCTAGTGAAACAGCCGCTGCTAAACACACGTGAATGTACTGTCACCCCAAAAGGTATCTGTATGATTTTGTGCGAGACAATATACCACAACCGACGCAGGATTTTAACAACCCCACCGAGACCACAGGAGCCACATTGTTCATTTTGAAATTCATCAGACCCCACCGTAAAGATACCTTTTGGAATGACTGTACAAGACTTGTGCATATGTTCCCTCACATCACACACTGCTGCTGGCTCACCCTGCTACCCCCTGCCTCTTTCCACTACCGGCTGAATCACCAATAATTGATAATGCAACTACATCTTAACAAGTACAATGGTGACCTTATCATAAAATCAACCAATATTAATTTACATGCATAAATTTAGACCCTTCTGTGTGTCTCCTGGTGACTACAAATATGACTTAGGAGCATAAACCTAACATGAACATTGTGGTGTTCTTTAATAACACTATACAAAGTCTTCTAAGATCAGCAAGTAACACAGATCTCTTGTGCTACTTTATGATATATACTTCTTTAATTACCATTCAAGTTAATGCATAAAATAACTAAGAAATATTCTTTATCCTTCAGCCAACTATTAACTGTCTTTAAAAAAAACACATATAACTGTTTTAGTGTATGGACTATTGCTAATGTTTGGTTTATTTATCAAAGAAAATTATGAACCTGTGGTGGAAATGTCTGTTGTTAGATTGACAAAATACAAATACAATGTTAAAGAGGCAGATCAAGTACCTACTCATGTTACACTCAACTAATCTGCATGCACATTAAAAACAAATAGAAAGAAATCTGTATCCATTTTCAACCCACTATTAGAAATAAAGAATAAGAAGTGCAGCTTCTTTCAATTCTATTAAAAGTGTGTTAAGTTATATGTTGAGTCTGCCACAACCTCTTGAATTTGCTGGTGGAGGTCCCTGAGCAGAGGACCTGGAAGTGGGTGACATTCTACTCTGAAGACGCTGGACCAAGCTAAACGTTATGTATGAAACCAACCTGAGCAGCCCTGGAGCACAACAGCCAAGCGAGATAAAATAGGAGAGCCCAAACATGATCCAAAAATTAGAGGAGGAGGAACAAGAGAGGCAGTCAACAAAGAGAGGTGACGAGGACGTTGACTACGACACCAGAAATGGGTGCCTAAAAGAAGTCCTCATCTCCCTCTCCCCTGTTCGTACCTTGCTGGTGGCGAAGAGCAGTCCCACGCCCTCCATGCACACTTGCAGGAGGCCGCCTTCACCGGTCTTCATATCTTGCACTGGGAACTCTCCGCCTAGCTCTACGCCAGGCAGAGCTCCCACACCTCTTGCTGCTGCTCGTTCCATGGCCTCCTTTATGCAGTAGTAGAGGTCTTTACACTGCAAAAGTACAATTTACATAAACATTTTGGTTTATTATGAAATTGATATGAAAATCAGCTTAAAAGGAATGATTTGTACATCTTTAATAAGAATAAATGAGAATATAAACTTACAGTACTGTTACAGATGTGATCATTCTGTAAACTAACTATTACTGAGGTAGTTATTATGAACACCAGTACAGTATAAACAATCACAAGCACTATTGACCTTAAGTGAACACATTGTTTTCAGTGATTAATTTCCTAACCTAACCATATAAAATAATTACTGTACAGGAACCCCTCCATTTAAATAAAGGTTCCAATACAGAAAACTATTTGTAAGTTGATTCTTCATAAATCAAGTGATGTGATGTCTGCACTACGGTAGGTCCTGTCTAGTCCAGTATTAACAGCACAGTACTATGGTAGCTGTGAGAGTAACAGGGTCTCGGGTCATCTCAGGACACGGCAAATAAGAATATGGAAAATAAAGGATTGGTAGTTATGGCTTAATATAATTCAATAAGCTTGTCCCAAAATGATTGAACACCTGAAAACAGTATTACTGAACCAGATGCATTAGAAGCAGAACTAGATGTGGTACAGTACATTGGCCCCTTTAAATAATTGCAGTTCTCATGTTAATGATTTGAACCATCCAAGAGATTACCTCAGGCAAATATTTCTATCACACTCAACTTCCAACCCACAGAGCAGAAGAGAATAAGTTCTATCAGTGAGTATTCATAGCATTCCCATGAGGCCACTGCAGTGCATCACAATAGACAGTTTTACCTTCTTTGTATAATATTTGTGTAGTTGAGTCTGGCCCCCATTGCGGCGCCACAAGCAGAGGACCTTGTTCTTGGGGGAGTAGGTCATGTTAACAAGTCGCTCAAACCACCACCTCTCGACAATAACCCCACCAACTGATCTCAAAATAAGGCCATCATCACGCACTTCTAAGAAGAGCAAGTCACCTGTAAATATATGTACAAAAATATCAATTACAATACAATAGTGACCAGGAAATGTTGGTAAAACAGGGATTTTGCCATAATAATAATAATAATAATAATAATAATAAAAAAATAAAAAATAAAAAAAAATAATAATAATAATAATAATAATAATAATAATAATAATAATAATAATAATAATAATAATAATAATAATAATAATAATAATAATAATAATAATAATAATAATAACAATAATAATAATAATAATAATAATTCTGACAGCAACTGCAAAAGTGCTGGTATAAAAATGCTTTCACTTCCTTTAGTAAAATATAAATAAATTAATAAATATATAAATACACAAAGAGGCAGTGTGGCTGGCAAAGCACTGCACCATCTGCATTTCCACAACTGTAAAATTAGGTTTCCATTCACAGTTCAGTGGACTGTGAATGCCTTGGGCACAAACCAGCAACCTTTATGACAGGAGGCAAGAGCTGCTACACCCCTACACAGTACAGTACTGGGTAAAACAATAGGTCTCGTCACCCTCAGCAGGGTGATACTAATAAATACCATTACTGCACTGTACTTCCAATGAAAGACAGGAACAATATATTCAACTCACCTGAAGCATCAGTACCAGAATGGACAGTGAAAGTCTGGCGATGCATCTGTCTTGACCCAAGAGGTCTTAAGTCAATGTCATTACCATGCTGATGGAAGAAGACAACAATGATCAGGGTTTTTTTAATGCACTTTATATGACATACAGGTACAGTATATTTCAGGACTAACACAAAGGGGTTTAAGGCTGACACAATATTGGATTTTAAATCTTCGTGTTATGTGTGTACAAAGGCCATTTATAGGGTGGGTATGCTCCTAAAAATCAGTGCAACACCAACTATGAACCCCTGAATTTAACCATATACAGGTATAAAAATTCTTGTGTTCGGCAGATATAAGCATCTTCCAACACGTCTAAATTTTGTACATGCTTCAGTTCAGGAGTAAAAGTTGGCATGACATTGATTTTGGGGATCATAGACAAGCAATTAATTTATAGTCTTTACACACACACACACAGGTTCTCTAAACAACAACCTCACAATTTTCAAACCCTGATGTGACACTTCAGGTTTTATAATTATGTCTATCTGTAAACATACAGTATGTAAGTCAAGGAAGAGACTTTTATTCTTACCAAGTTATTTATCTGGTCGAGTAGTTCATTGACCTCTTGGCTGTACACAAGGCCAATGTGAGATTTGCCCAGCAACCTGCGCACCTTTCTCTTGATGTCTTCCTTACGCACATTGACCATCACCATAAAGGCCACGAGGTTGTACAGCATTGTGGATAGCAATCTGTCTTCCTCGTGTTCCAGGCGTTTACGCTCAGAATCACTCAAGCTATTGTATCTGTTATCGTAAAATTATGGTGAAGTAACATTTTACATACTGGGTACAGTACTAATTTATTTTTCATTTATGTTAAAAGTTAGTTAATCACTTCAGAAATAATATTACTGTTCTTGTGTTAATTTTGTATTCATTCAATCCCAATCTCCACTATTTCATACTTAGTTACAGTACAGTATAAGAATAAAGTCATATGTGAAGTTCAATGTTCCACAGAAGTGCCCAATGAGCCTAAAATATCAACTACTGTACAACCCAGATGACTCACCTCTCCATCATCTCACTGGGTCCCTGGTCCATGCCCACCATATCTCTCTCCTGAGCTACAGCATCAAGGAAACAGTCTTCCCAAAACTGCATCTGGTCCCATAATGGTGATCGTTCCTTACTTATAAGACCTGTTCAAGGGAGGGGGGAAAATATCAGTAATATGGTAAGGTTGTGTGAAGGAAGTAGAAGTCTTATTTAATATCTGTATAAGGAAAGACACTGTCGAATTCTACCCATAACCAAAAATTGTGGCCACACCAAAACTGGCACACTGTTCATTACACAGTTAAAATATGCAACTACAGCATTTATCTCTTCTAAATCTGTTCTCTGGACTTCAGTTTAAAGATGCTTACAGTTTGATTATGGTAAGAAAACCAAGAGCTGGTCATAATTTATGTGACTGAGAAGGTTGTAGTACTACATTTCACTTGCAACAAAACACCGTCCATATCGATAGCATCACCCGGCCATCAAGTACATCATGTTTTTGGGTAATGACAGATTCTACACAAAAGTGCTTGGTGGTGGTCTAATTCACAGGTCACCCATAAGACGACTTGATGAGCAATAATAAAATGCAATAATTATCTTACCTTCAAAGAGGTATGTTCTGCCTGAGTCTGGTGATGGGGTAGTGGATGTGGGGATCATATTTCCAGCATGATACCTAAATCCTGTTGAAAGGGAGGACTTGCTTGACCACATACTGGACGTTCTCTTGGACCCCCGAGGGAACTGTACAAGAAGAGATCCCAAAATAAGGAAATAAAGCAGACTAAAGTATTATCATATACTGTACCAGCATTTTGTGATTCTGTATAAAAAGGCAACACAGAGATAAAAACTGCTTATGGTTATCTTAATGGAACCCAAGTGAGAAAAGATAAATTACTTACATTGCCTTGTTCAATTTCCGAGTCAGAGACTGTGGACCGGAATGACTGGTGTGAGAGGCGTTGACGCTGGAAGGCCGGGTTGGTGATGATAGAGCCCGTGTCACTAGCACCACAGGAAGGAGGACCCTCTGATCCTTGGAGTGCGTCCCCTGCTTCTGAGTCCTACAAATACACCAAACATTAGTCATATGTAAAACTGAACAGAAATACTTGTTATAAAATAATAATGTACAACTAAGGAAACATTACTTTGAATAACCAAGTTTTATTAGTACCTTGGCTCATGTGTTTTATTTCTCATGAACAACATTACCTACATTACAGATAATTACCCTTAGACTTTATCCTGTTAACTTTTATATCCCACTGTGCACTCTTATCTATGGCTACTGATGAAAAGACCAGTTATGTTGCTGTATTTTAAGTGACATTGGCAAGTTAATCTTGTATTAAATGTTGCTGGCTTAACTTCCTCACTATGGGGATGCCACATTTATTAATGCAGGAGATTTTATTCAGCAGAGAGGACAGAGGACCACATAAAAAGATAAATGTAACAACAATTCCTCATCTAACTTTTCTCCATAACCTGACTTAAATACAACACTGTACTGACCTGAGACTGTAGTTTAGACAGTAAAACATGTCTCTTCTGCACCAGGAGATCCCGTAAGACATCAGATGCGGCTGTTTCAGAAGTTTCAGTATCTGGTGACCTAAGAGGATCATGCACCACGCGAGGACCGGACGAGAGAAAGGGGCTGTCTGAAATTAGTACCAAAGAAACATAATTAGGATGTACAGTATGCAGAGGTAATTTCTTTTATAATTTTCTGATAAACTGAAGAATATTTCCCCATCATCACAGAACTTTCAGCCAACAACTAATGCAAGTGAGTATTTCTTCAGCTGCAACAAATTTTTTTTTCATTCTAATCACTTGTTAGTTTCCAGTTAAAAATATAACAACTGACTTGGTTCACTTTGGCTGAAAACACTTATGCCTCAAAGTTTCTGATGGTTTTTACATCATAAAGGTTTAACCCTTATCAAGATCATTGTGGTACCTTCCTCACTAGCTTGTTATTTTCTCATAATCACTTCATTTCCTTCCCTTTGTTAGTCCTCATCATATTTCATCATATTGGTTTTATTTAACTCTCTCCAAAATGCTTAAATTGAATATATGCAAAAGATTCCTTATGCAGGGGTGATACTATATTACTGAGGCAGCTGATTTATGGACAGGTCTGAACTCTAAGGAAAAGGTATTTATCCACTCCAAACACTTTCACTGTCCAAAAATTCACAAATAGTCCTCTTATATTCTTCATGTAAATTATTATAAGCATGGGTGTGTGCCAGTATCCAAAAGAGCAAACCTAAGATGTGTGGAGCATGATCACCAGGAAGGAGCCGCTTTAATATATATTGTCAGATGAACATAACAGTACATTGTAGTACAGTATAATATTTTCCCGTTTGTAGAGAGGATATTACAACCTTGAATTGAACAACTTTCTAACAAAACTATTGTTTCAAAATCCCTCTAAAACTTTATATTTCGATGTTCCAAGGAAATATTACTAAACGTGCCACTCCTGAACATGTTCATATAACTTACCAGACTGTGAAGACTTCCGGGAACAGTCAGAACTCTCATATGGTGGCTGGGGTGAGTGAGGGGGTAGGGGTGACCCTCTGGGACTGCCTGGGGACCGCAAGTTCTCAAGGCTGCCCAAAGGACTGGAAGACTTTAACAAGAGACAACACTTGTTTAGAAACTTTAGGCCTTGTCACTTCTTAAGTTTTTGAGCAGAGTAACATCCTTTAATTGGAATAGTTTCATTTTTTGTGTACAAAACTATTTAACTAAAACTTACCACCGAGTAAGACAATAAACACAAGAATAAAGATCAATTCATCTCACTCACCTGAGAGAGGGCAGAAGAGCCACCTGACATCTCCAGGGCGTGTGGGTCTGAGAGGTCACGGCTCCAGTAATGAGTATGGGAAATTTCAAGAGCCTGGAGGGCCGACGATGTACCCCCGACACCGAAGGTATTGTAAGTTACTTCTAAACCAGCAACTACAGCATTTACTAGCTTCAGCATTCCCTTCCAGACAGGCTTCTTCACACACTGTAAGAATTAAAGTAAATAATAACACAGACATCTGGTATCTTGTGATATAAATAACATTATGACAGAGGAAACATTAAAAAAAAAAATCCAGGATTATTTTTAAAACTGACAAAATTTGGCATAATTTTTTTTAACATTAAATACTATAACTCACAACATCGTTTATATGATCATCTGGTCCTATCTTCCTCTCCAGGGTACGGTTGAGACCCGACACGACCAGCATGCGGTAATTCTCATCTTCCATCAGTTTTCTCACCCGGTTCAGTTTGAGCCAGCCAATTCCTTCCCCTTCAATCACCTGTGTCAATACCTAGGAAAAATACAAGGGCACACTATGAAAGGAAAGTGTTCTTGGTATAGCTTTAAAATGTCTACCTTATTTGGTTTTATAACACATACAGCACTACCTTATTATTAGTCAAGATCATGAAACACATTATTACCACATCACAATTGGTGGTTAACGCATCAATATTAAGTCACAACTTTTTCTAAGGAGATAGTACAGTATTACATCAGGTTGAAATATGTAACAATGTGCTGTGTGTATTATATTATATCATCAAACTTGAAGTCTACTGTACATACATCTTTCAAAAAGGCTTGATTTTCTGAAGCTGAAGTTGTTCTCTGCTCTATACTTGCTATTTTGTTTAGCTCGGCGCGCCTTTGAGCCGAGACAGAGTGTCGTATCAATGAAGACTTCTCCACTAATCCCTTACGACCTGCAGAATGTTAACATCCATAGTTTATAAATGATCACAACAACAAAATCAATAATTCTCTTGACTAAATTAAGTAGAATTTTTCATACGACTTTGACGGAATTACATGTTAAGTCCACTGATGGCTTTTGTTTGCCAAATGAGATTCAATTCTAAACGGTAGACTACAAGTTTACTCTCGTGTAGTTTACGAGAATGGATATAATTATTACTAGAATATGCATCAGTGTCGGTGTAAACAAAACTAATCATCTTATCACATTACACAAAGCATTCTTTTCCTTCATGACCATCAACAAAACTGACTGGTATATGAAATCTTTATAATATTCAGAAGTACTCGAACATAAATATATGATAAGCAAATATGTCGGTCCAACGGTGGGATAACTACTGGAAGTTGCCTGATTGACTAGCAAGGTGAAGAAGATAATTAAATATTAAGGATTCTATTTCAGGCAGCAAGTACAGACAAATGGTCCCATATCTGTTCTGTATTACAAGTAGCAATGAGAGTACTGAACATGTGTACTGTATTCAATAAGTGATCCTGAGATAAATGATGTTCCGCAGTTTATCCCTTTGTAGGCCTCTCCGACTAGACACACTAATCTTAATTTGTGATACATTTCATCCTCAACAAGTGATCTGTACTAGTATCCCCTTCTGCTTCCCGCTAATATAATATAAAAGGCTAACTGAATCTATCACACAATACTATTCAGTAAAGTACTATAAATAATAGCTTGGGAACTTTCCCTTAAACTTTAAAGGGGCTTTAACACTTTAAAGCTGTATCACACCTGCAATAAGCCTCTACTGGTTTAACAAACAAATTAACCATAAAACAAAGTGATGGACTAATATGATCTTAAATCACTTCACAACTTTTATAACTCACAACATCTTCAATAAGTTAATACTAATGTTTAGCTTCCCAGAAGACTGAGAATTCACTAATCCCTGGACAAGAGAAACAGGAGTTATACACACACTGAAAAAGATATTCATCTGTTATCAACAATTTCGCTACAATGTGTGGAAGAGCCACGGCTGTGGAATAGATCAGTCCGAGGAGAAAGGACAGGTAAGGAAGATCAACTAAACTGCCAATGCTGAAAAATATTGGCAAAGCAGTAGTTCCCATGTTGCATGTGCAAAAATCATTTGACAGTAGAACAGGAAGTGGCAAACTCTTAAAAGATGCAGCAAATACGGCACTCAAACTGTGCCTCCAGCACTGTACAAGTAACAAGAAAAATCACTTCAACTGTACACAATTTCTAGTTCACATGCTGTAGCTCCAGCACTGATCCTTAACAAGAAGAACACCATAATAATAACATCTAAAACTTATGCTTATTAAATATCATATCAGAATATTAAGCACAAACCCATTTCATAAGTTCATACAGCACTAGAGGAACAAGCACACATTACAGCAGGCCCAAGTCTTCACAGCTTCATTGGAAAATAAATAATTGTGCCAGAACACACCTCCAATATATACTGTATATTATGGTATAACTAACAATATGAAGAATGTCAATGAAAAATAATGTTAAACAATATATAATAGTTTATAAATATAATGTAACTTTTCTATGAACGTTAATAAAGATACAATAATAATAATGATGATAAAAAATTATGATTAATGACACAATGACCAATAAACTGTACTGGAGTAATGGATCCTCAAATATATTCTATTCTTTCCATAAAAATATTTTCTCCCTTTTGTCCATTTCCATAAGTCATTCATAAGGAGCTACACACTATTACTTAAACACAAAATAACAAATGAAAGAATAAGACATAATTTATAAACTGATGGTAACTTGTGCTGTAATAACATCAGACGTCAAAAATGAACACCACACGTTACGTCACCTGCCATTATCATATCTGTTCTCTAGCCATTGAAAATATTCACCAATTTTTGTCATCTTTAACAAAACATTCCATTGTACTAACCATGGAAAATTTCTTATTGCACATAGTTTACATATGATTGTTTCCTTACACAAATGTTAAGTGAAAAAACATCTTCACTATAACATAAATATCACAAATTATTATCAGGAATAACTAATATATCGAGTCAGGAAAGACCCTAAAAAGTTTATGTTCTGTATGTATGTATGTATGTAGTATAAGGTTGGCAGTTACCGAGCCTTTAATACAGTTGATGGCAGCTGGTGAAATAAATCAACACAACCTGACCCTTGTTTACCATGTATCACTTGGCTCCCTCCCTCTCCTCCTCCCTAGGTTCTGTTCTAGTGTTGTGCTATACAGTTTCAGTATTGTACACTCTACTAAACCCTATACAGTATGTGCCAGGCAAGAAATGAAATGGTGGTAAATCTCTGTCAGCTCATAAATATTTCAACTTTGAACTGTATAATAAAGATTCCAGGTTTCTATTGTGTTCATCAGTGACTGGCTCAAAAATACAACCACCTTGCTTACTGTTGTATTAATTGAGGCGCTCCCATTGATAGTGACGAATCAACCAATGGCGCCCAAATCAGATTCTTGTTTCAACAGGAAGCCCAACTCTTTCTCTTTATTGGTCATCCTTCTGACAGAAGGATGACCAATAAACCCTGTATTGGGTAGAGAAACACTCGGGCTTCCTGCTGAAACAAGAATCTGATTTGGAAGCCATTGGTTGATTCGTCACTAACAATGGGAGCGCATCAATTAATGTATAAGTTCACAGGAGAATCAATATGATTGAACTGTACATTATAAGTATCACTTTTAATGTTCATGTACTGTACGGTATTCCTACTACATTAAACATATTTTCCATGAAAGTAAATTTCAATGTACAGTATGTCTTAAAACAAAAATAATGACACACCTTCAACTGGAAAAATTTCTTACAAAATACTATGAGAATCACTTTGTTTATTTGAGGTGTTGTGACGTCAACAACCTTTACTTTTCCTCCTTGTTTAGTGTGTACTGTACTGTAGTTTGGGATATCTTCCTAAATGATGATATTACATGTTATCTCATGATAAGTATAGTTTGGTATCTTGCTGAGTCCTCCTACCTTTGGGGAAAGGTCCAAAAGGCTGCGCCCTGTCCCTGGTCCTGGTGGCGCCCACGCCTAAGTTGGAGGGACTCACACTGCGACTCCCAGGTCCACGTGCACCTGTTAGGCAACATGGTTCGCACTGGGGTCCCCTCGTGTGTAACATCACACAAATATCACATCCAAACTTTTCACCAAATTATTAGAACACAGTAAATTACTTGGTTGTAAATGACTTGTTCAACCCTCCAGGTAAAGATAGGAGCAACATAAGTACTGTACACATTACTTGTTCATTTCTTCAAGAACAAGTCCAACCAGAGGCCTTGGTCAAATACTCTTGTTTTTGCTGTGTTTTTTTTTAAGTTTTCTTATTCTTCAAGTAATTTATACTATCTATTTCACAAAGCTATATTACTGATCGGAAATAATGCAAAATTATAAAAAAAAATGGTATCTGAATAAAACTACTGTACAAACAGCCTATACTGTATATCAAAAAATGTATTCTTATGCAAACTATATTTTAAGCACAGACCAGGTCACAAGTGCATTAACCGTAAAAAGTTTCCCTCACAGTACTAACAACTGCAGCCATTAAATGTCTGCCAAATATAGATCCACAACACATATATGCAGGACAAATTTCTTAAGATATTTAGTTATTAACGACTACACTTAAAAATATCCCAAACCCTGTAAATGACTCTGGCCTCTGGTAAAGAAATAAACAGTTGTCTTCCCACCACTAACTAATAAATACACATCTGGTATATCACTCAAGTCAGCATATCAATCAACTCTCCTATGTTTGTATATTCAGAAGATGAAAATAACCTTTCCCTCATAAAACAGTTGCTCCCACATGCTTTCCTCTTCACATACTTAAGACAACCATCAACGAAACAGTAAAAGTATTGAAATTGTCTCTCTCTTCCGTAAATCTCTACTGAATCATATGAATAATGTACCGGAAATTCACTCGTTTAGGTATTTACAGTGAAACCTCTATCTAGCGGACTATATAGAGATGAAAGTCCATCATAAAGAGTGTCCGTTAGATGTGAAAACACCATCGATTGGATTATATGGTATTGGTTTTTACCCATCTTCTGAATACACAAAACAGCTAAATAACTATTGTATTCTGCATCTGAAGTATGTTGTTGCAATTTATTTCACTTATACATGATGGTAAGTGATCCAGTACTGTGTTTTCGTCCATGGATTTATGATCACCATAATAATGATGATTAATTTGATAGTTAAATAAAGAATAATAACTCCATATTCATCAAACTATAAAAATTACAAAGCTGCTTTATATCAAATTCAATACAGTAATAGTGTTTGTATCTATCAAGAACGTCGATCATTCACCCTCAGGCAGTGTTAAATGAACTGCAACAAACTATAGTGCTGACAATTAATTCTTGTTTTGGGGAGAATTATCACCAATGTCTGTATTAACACCAAAGTCTATCAATGAGCTGAAAATATAAACTCAATTAACTGTTTCTATCACAGATTCAATTCCTGAAATACTAATTCACTTGAGAAAACAAATCATGCATATACACTCACTATAAACACCATCAAGCAAAACAAAAGACAACTGTTGACACATATCATGCAGGCATAAAACAGTTAAGTTAAGCGTGGCAGCATTTCAATCATAGGGTTAAAAAATTACAAACCGTGAGAAGTTATAACACAGCAAAACATCAACACATATCAGTACTGTTGTGGGTTTATAGTAACACAAACAATCTGCCAACTATGCAACAAAAAAAATGTCCAAGGATTGTCAACAGTATTTAGGTGTTAGGATCCTCGACAGCATCTGTGTAAAAGTTCAAGATGTCCATATAGTTCTGTCTTTGTCCATTAACATTTTCTCTAGGTTGAAGATGAACCTAATGTCATAAGGTAAATATTTCATAAGCATATTAAAGTATGTTTACAGCTGAGGGGAAGAAGGTTGTGTTACTTGTGTCAGAAGAGTGGCATCAAATATATGTACTGTACTGTACAATGTAGATAAAGTGTACCCAAACATGTACTTTCAGCTTGGTTGTTAATCACATGCATAAAACTTGCATAAATTTTTTTGTGGGGTTATATTTCTCCCTATTATGAGAAACTAACATTGGTAAAAAAAAAATATGAATAATTAAACTTGGAGTAAAATGGGTCATATTAAAATAAATAAAAATTTCACCCATTTAACCCACAAACAATCACCAACACGTGTAGGCCTATAGTGTACCAGATGAAGATATGGTACAGTATCTAGGCTGAATTTGTTAATCAGTACTTTCTATCTGTTTTCACAAGAGTAATGGCCACTAATTAACTTTAACATTTTAACATTAGCATACTGTACATTTCTATCAAGCTACTGCCACAGAATTAACACTGAGAACAAAATTCTTCCTTCTTTACTCTGTTATGGACTCAGTGAGGTACACATGTGGTAAACTGGCCTACTAGATCATAAGTTAAGCCAAACCATCTGCCTTGAGGGCGTGGTGTCATATGTCACAGGCTGAGACAGGACTGGTATACAGGATCTCTTCTATGGTTTAGATACTTGTGAGCCAGTTAGCTATTTCTTCAAATGAAACCTTAAATTTGCCAAAACATCCCCTTACACCTGTTATTCTTTTGTCTCCTACTCCTTAACAACAGCAGTGATAAGTGTTGCAGTCTAGAACATACTTTGTTCCTTCCAGCCCAGTGCAGTGGAGGACTGGCTTTCCTTTTTGTACACTATCCTTTGTACAATATCCGGTGCACTTGCTGATGGTGGAACAACGAGTCATATAAACCCTTCAATCACCCCAATAAAACAAGTGCATCACGCCCGTTACCAAACACACCTGACCTCTAAGGTGGACCAATGTCTCGACCGGTTTCAAAAGGATAGGACACACGATTCCATAACATCCTGGGAACTAATTCAAACATATAATTCATGGCAATAATAAAATTTCCAACACATTCTCTACAACAACAACATAATCAAAATGACCTTCACTCTATGGAAGTAAGCAGATGAGATATTCCTCTCCCAAAGTACACTATCGCTTAAGTACACTATGTTATTAACCCAGTCACAGTTTAATATGATAATCTTATGTCCATTAAAACAGCCAACCCCCCCCCCAAATAAATAAATAAATAAATAAAATAAAAATATCTTAAAATTATATATAAAAACAAAACAACAAAAACCCTATTCAGCATTCATCTCGTGTCTTGGTATAGTGTATAAAATTTTCTGTTGAAATTTCATATGTTGTGGCACTTGTTACATTAATTATGATACATATGTACACAGCAATGATACTACAATATATACTTATGTAGGGAGACACACACACAGGGGAAAGAGGTGGAGGACTTGTGGCTTTGTCTACGAGAATGTGACTGTGTGTATCCTTTACTTATCTTACTGTAATACTGCATGTGATTACGTATATATTAACTTAATTCTTTTAATGCACAACAATTACACACCTAATACTAGACCATGCACTTACCACCATGCTCTCCACTTGAGAAACATGAATGGACAAATTCCTTCTTCATATCTGAAACAATAACAACTGCTGCCTGCCCTTCCTGGTCCCCTAAACTTGGGCCTGGGTTATTAATCAGACATTTTTAATATTTACATTGTTTCCAAGTCCCTATAGGAAGGCTTTAATTAGTGTAGCCAATCAGGGGCGAAGACGACAAAGTAAAGAAAAAAAAGGTAGAGTACAGTAAAAGTAAAGTTAAAAAATGATCGTTGGATGTGATACTATGTTACCTGTGAGTGTAAACTGTACTGTCTATGATAAGCAAACTAGCCATGACCTGGGCAAGTTATTTATGTATGGGATGAACTGTGAATGGGTTAAAGTTATATGTCACCTTTACCTGAAATTTCCAAAATACATTTACCAGAGAACTGTAGAAAACAATTTTACACTCCAGAGTGAGAGAGATTTTGATTGTCCAATTTATGTATTCATGTCATTCAAGTAACCTATAATACAGTATACTGTACTTTGGAGGGGAAAAGTAGCAAATAGGATAATAACTAAGTATTTGTGACTACATATACAGTGTAATGTTCCTGGAATATCTGAATAATAAAGAGCTGGATTAGTGATATCTAACATACAGTATATTATTCTGTTGACACAGATATTAACCATTATAGGATGAGCATACACATGCAAGCAGAGAAAACACACACACATCAATACACATGTACAGTACAGTGTTTCACTCATGGCAAGCTGGGAATAAACTATACTAGTTAAATAAATAGGCCTACCGGTAATCAGTTAGGATGATTAAGCAAAATAATGAATTGCATTAAGAAGCAAAGGTATAACCACAAATGAAGGGCTGAAGCTTGAAGGCCCATTTCACAGAAGAATATTTAAGAGATCTGTGAGTTTCTATCAACAAGAACACCTGACAGAGCCTGCCAAGCCCAGGGGCCTCATGCTGTCTGGTGACCGGTTATACTTCCTTTACAGATCAGTGTATACTTGCTGCAGAACAGCTCCTTCTCCCTCCAAATTGGCGTTAAATCAATGCTTTGAAATCTATAACCAATATAAAGTTAACTGAAACATTCTTACTCTCCTAGAACTAAACTTGACCAGCTGGAAAACTTTTATAATTATCAGATGAATATTGTGGTCACAAGTCAAAAGGTAATTTTTCTTGATGATCCTGACTTTGATTTTCGTCCATTGTTAACCAAAATAATGCACTGCTTATTCTAGGGTCAGGCCTTGTGGGACTACTATTACATACTCTTCAGACTAATACCGTTGAAAGATAAGACAAGACATAATAAAGGAGATTACACCCTACACTGGTCTCTTCAATAAAAATCGTTCCTTTATGTGCAAAGAACATTGTGTCAAAACATCAAAACTGTTGACTGTTGTGTAAATAATAAAAGTGAAAACAACTTTTATCCTGATTAAATAGAGATTCACTAGGAGAAAGGCAGAATACAGCCTCAGAGGTCCAGTGACATGGTGGTGGGAAGTGAAATGTGAGGGTCAAAGCACATGTCTCTCTTTATGGCTGCAAGGGCTCAAAGATGTAAGTGAACCTTCCATAAGGACTCATCCCCTTAACCCTGAAGCCTTACTTTAAATGCAATCATGAGGCTGGGAGCATAAAGCATTGATTGAACCTTGTTTTGTGTAGGAGGAGCTACTCTGTTGTAATTTATTCTGATCTACAAGGGCAGTAAAACTTGCTGTTAAACCATCAGAGTCCCTCATACAGGCCTCTCAAGGGTGTTCTAGGTGGTAGTCTCACAAGTCACTCGTTAATGATCCATAAGTTATAGAAGAAGGATTAGTTAAAGCAGATGAGCCCATCACCAGGAGTACACAGTTAGCAGCCATAACTTACGAAACAAGGGGCGGCTGAGTCTACGTTGTAAGGATGGAGATGTTACCTCTTCAGAACCAACATGACCATTTACCACTAAAATTTTTATAAAATATTGATATCATAGAGGAAATGTGATGTGATATCCTGCATCAAAATCATATAAAAAATCAAGACATTAATATGGGCCAAACTAATCCCCGGGGCTTGAACCCCAAAAGAGATTCAAATTATCATACAACAACTGGATTTGTTAGGTTAAGTTAGGTCATGTTAAAGGAAGGTTTGGGTGGATTAGCAGTTGGTTAAGTGAGCTAAGGTTCTAAGACCAGGGATTAATGAGCCCCCATCAACATTAATAACATAGATCATGCATGTCTTCTACAAGCAAATAAAAAATCATAAGGCAAGCTGAATTCATAATACAAAATATTTAAAAAAAAATCTGGTGGTGTAAATATCTAAAATAAACACCAGAAATATGCCAAACTTAAGTATAAACATTGATAAATGGAAAAAATCAACATAAGCCAAATCTACAAAAATTAATGGCAACTTTCTCTACATCCAAGATAAACTTAAAGACCATAGTGTAGAGTTTACATACCAAATATGTCACTAAATAGGCTGGATGTCTGCTGGGCAAAATCATTGAGCTCAGAGCTAACATTTAACAGAAAATCTCGCGAGGAGGACGACGTCATCGTGGGGGAGCGCACCCCAGAACTACTGGCTGTACTCTGGCGACGGGTACTGACGCCTCCCGCCCCGACGGCACCTTCGCCGCCATCGCCCACGGCAAGGTTCCCAGTACTGCTGCGGAGGCTACTGCCATCTCCAACAACCGCACTACTGCCTGGAAACAACACAATAAAATAATTCACCAACAGACTGGATGATCTCACACACAGACACATTCTCTTCATTCACCATAATCTTTGCAAATTCTTCAATATCTTCTTCCATTACATACATTCACAAACATACTTAATCAATATGTCATTTTCCCTATATACTGTATCATAAAGCACATGTTAGTCAATTGACCTTTCTGTAACCTTTTCATCTGAAGTAGAACACAAACTCATTAACCATAAATTGAAAATTGTCATAAAGTTGCAGGTATAAAATATTTTCCCAACATTACACCAGCATGACAAAGTGGGTACTGATATGCACAACACCTAATGAGAGAGATATCTTAAACCTCTTATATACAGCATAAATATTTTGATTCATGTTATCTATACTAATTATGTACTTTATCCTGCAAACTCTACGTCTTCTATCCATCAACTATATAATATTATACTCCTTTTCCATTTTATTATAACCATTCTTTCTTCCCTGCATTCACACACTTTCCCATCCACTCCCTGCATTCACACTCTTGTGGAATCCCAAGTCTTTTACAACAGTTTTGAATCCTACTCCTCCCTTTGTGCATCTACTCAAATTTCAACATTTAAATCATGACAAAATCTGGAAACACGTAAATTAAATAAATAAAAAAAACTTGGAAGAAGCACAAGGGAAGTCGTGTGGAAGGAGAGACAGAAGTATGAGTACAGTACAACAGACAGGAGTATATGAGGACAGACAGAAACATACATTGACAGTGGCTAATGAATAAGACCATTGTACTGTTGTTTTCTATAAATAAGTACAACACTTATAAAAAAAATTAATCTCCTTCATGTATAAGTATTCCAATGATTCAACCTCTTAATATCTATAGATTAATACTAATATTTGTTATTATTTTTTTGTATTTTCTACAGTACGTACCTAAAAATTAAGCTGACTATGATATATATTCTAAAAAGGAATATTAATGGATAAACTTGAGAATACTATGATACATGAAAGAATAGGTACTGTATAAAGACAATGATAAGTGAGAATTTGGAGTTAAGCCTTCAAACATAAGCAACTTTTTTATAGGTGTTTGAAAATGAAACTATATGAATGCAATTAAAGTTACTAACTTGAGGAACTGACGACAGATAGTCTCCCTGGCGAGGCACCATTTCTACTGGGTTGTGCATGGGCAGGACTCGTCTGGGGCTGGATGGGTGACTGTGTAGGGGTGGATGGCTGACTCTGGAGTGATGGTTTAGGTGATCTTGGAGGGGGCGGGGGTGGCAAGCCCCGGAGATGTGCAGGCGGGGACGAAGAAGGCACACTAGCAGGTGGTGTTCTATGAGGGATTGGTGGAGGTGCTCCCATACCACCTCCTATTACTCCAGCCCCTCCCCCCCCTCCTCCTCCTCCACCTGTACCTCCTCCTCCACCTGTACCTCCTCCTCCTCCTCCTCCTCCTCCTCCTCCTGCTCCTCCTCCTCCTCCTCCACCACCTCCCCCTACTCTACCACCCATCCCTCCCACTCCACCCATCATACCTCCTGCTCCACCTCCTCCAACCTCCGCTGAAACACTCCCACTAGTGCTGCTGCCGATGGCTGGACCAACTCCGGCCAATTTTCCATCAAAGGAAGTTTCTCGTAGCTCCAAGGCCTGTCAAGAGTAACGTGAAACAATGTTGTATTAATAAACCTGAAATAACTTGTAGTGCTGGACCCCCAACACTGGGTCTCAGTATATGGACCAACAAGTCACTGGTGACAGATACAATTACCAGGTTAACACTACTTATTGACTCTTCCCTCATTAAAGAATTATAAAACTACCGTATTTATTATTAAACAACATGACTAGAGACTGACCACTTGCCCACAGTAGTAATTCTTCAAGCACAAAAGGTAAAGAAAATTACTTGTGTCTTAAATAAATAGGTTGAGAAAACCTTAAAGATGTGAAAACTAAACAAAAACGTTTAATCAATATTTTCTTAGACACCACTTAATGATAATTTGTTGATATATTTCAAAAACCTGTAAATGTTTTTGACTGGCAACTTGTGAAGTTCATTTTTCCAATGATAGTTGAGCCTCAGACTCGGTGAATCTGGGGATTATTCAGGATTAATCCTGCAGTTATCTGTCAACTGTCTAGTGGCATAACCTAGAAACCCGTAACAGTCTTATGACCTTTGCCTTATGTAGCATGGCCATCCAGTGTGCTGGTGAGAGCTGGTTAAGCTGTAAGGTTAAATACTGTATTGCCAGGTACAGTAGTCTGTACTTTCAAGTCGCAACACAAAGTGCTGGGACTAACAAAACAAGGAGTGTCGTTCTTTTGGAAACAAGTAGTGGAACCTGTAGCAATGCTGATTTTTTTGTCAGATTTGGTGCTACCCACTGGTCACAACCATCATGATTGTTGGTGTAATTTTCTCGTTTCCTTTTGAATAAAATAAACTTTTAAAAATGTACTAAAAGTTGATATTTGTTTAGCAGAAACCAAAAATTTCAAGAAACAAGTTCATTCTATACAGTTCACCAAATGAAGGCAATATTGTACCTCTGACGTCAGGTTAACCACCACACTGTACGATTAAACACATGAACCAGAAGCAACAAATAACATCTGGTACTGTCCACCTGGATAGTGTATCCTGCCATTAAACATGTCAAGTTGTCTGCTGAAACCTGAATTCTGCCAGAGGTGACTTATAGATGAGCTCTAGATCATAAGTAACACGTATCTTTACATAAAAACAGTCATACATTCAAGCAAGAAACACTTTACTACCTTGGCATCAGTACTGCCACAAGATAACTTGTTTACATTGAAAAACTAAACACTGATAAGAGAAACCATTTAACACACAGTAATCCAACTCTTCCTGGAACCATGCATAAACCTGTGCTCTATCAATGGGGTTTTATATATTTGTGTGTCCAGTTAGCTGAGAATGGAATAGTGATGATACACAATCTTCATGTCTTTCATAATACATATAAGAACTTTTGATACTCTTAGTAACCAGTTAAAATAACAAAAATCATTTATGTGAACTGAACTTATCATACAGTTCAAGTCATATTTTTAACAGCTATTAACATTAAGTACAAGCCCAACGAGCCCATTCTAATAGGCCTTAACCTATCCTATTAGGAATGAGGGCCGAGTTGAAATCGACACCGATCCTTTTACTACCAATGCATTTTAGGATAAGGGTTCCTTTAATAAATCCCTTCAGTAATTGCTATATAATTAATATCAACTTTAAAAGCAAAGAATACATTACAGCAAACAAATATGGCTTCAATCTGCTCATATACACCAGACTCTACCTCATCGTGCATGTTAACATAACTGCATTTTGTACCCAAGTTTTAAATTCTAAATACTGTAATAAATTAAAAACAAATTCTAATTTCTAATATAATCCCATGTAACTCTAACATAAATACATATACTAAACACATTAATGGGAGGTTCAAGACTACAGTACTTGGATAATGCTACCAACTACCATGGCTACTTCACTGTCTCTCTCTTAAATGACCAACAATAGTTTCATGTTTAGGAAAGTCACAAGTATGTATGGGAGAGGAGAGGAGAGAGATGACAGTAAGTGAGAGTCTATGTTGATCCTATGTACTGTACAGTGGAGGAAAAGGGTTTGTAAGAGTTAAAAAGAAAGTACTTGTGATTTTCCTGACTCCTCATTGTATCAACTGGCCATTGCCTCAAGTGGCCTGTCACATATACAGTAAATGCCTTTAGATGTTGGGGTTACACATCTCTACTAGCCTATGACATGATTACTACAGGAGGGACCTACAATATACTGATAGTTCATTGATGCCACATGCCGATGACATTTTGTAACTTCTACATGTGTCAATTGGGAATCAAAGCATTAAGGATGTTATAGGCGCTGCTATTGTACAACGATCCCATGCCTCAAGTAATAGTGAGGGAACTTCCCACGGGGTCCTGTTATAGTGGTTGTCCCTCTCACCTTGAGGCTGACCTTGGAGAAAATGCTACCCTTCTTGGCTGCCTCTCTTGCTGTCTTGGTGAAGTCTCCAAAAGTGTGTTTCCCCATGAATGATAAATCTTCAAATGTTGATTTGCTAGCCTGTATGTTAAGGAAAAGGCACCATTAGATTCCACAGTAGAGAACATTAAGAATGCTGTAAGTTGATAAACAAAGTGAAGTGAAGTTTGGTGAATGTGAGTGCAACATGCATTGGTAATAATCTTTTTATATAAATTACATTTAATAAAGGAAAATTTACATAACATAAAGAGCATGAATATCAAAGGAAGACGTAATATTGTGCACGAAGTGGTTGACCCTATAAGACTCTTAACAGGAGTCTGATGTTTGTCCTAAAATGGTTTCAAATTCATTTTACATTGTTCCCAACTCTGACATTACTGCCTGCCAAAACACACATACACACACACCATGAGAGACGATCCACTGTGAAATCTTGTTATTTCCCATGGCTCTCTGCTACCAATCATTTATATCAGCTAGACAAGCACCCTTCCCTGTTACCCTCAAAATGTTTGGTATACCCATTGTGTGAGGTTGGGAGTGCCAGTTATGCCAGTGTAAGTACTGTCAAGTGTTGAGCATAAGCTGAGCCCTGTACAGTGACTAAAGCCTTTCTGAATGGGAATCTAGTGGTGATATTAAAGAAAGAATTATGTAATTTTAATGAAGATGGAAGGAGTTTAATCTTACTTAATACAATAATACAGTAAGTAAAATGTGGCTGGTTACAACCACAGACTTTATTGTAAGAACAGTATTGTATTGTACTTTCTGTTTTATTTTAATTTTATGTTTCCATGTTTTGTCATTCTGAATTTTCCCTTCATGCTGAGATAACCATCAAGCCAGGGGGAAGTGACTAAGAAATAAAAACATGTTTCAAATAAATCAAGTAAGATACAGAACGAAAATAAAAGGCTCACCTGCTGTGCCTGTTTACTGGCTTCCATGGCTTGCTTGCTGGCTACTGACACAGATTTTGAGGCTTCTCCAGCTGCCCGCTTCGCCTGCACTGTCAGCTGTTAGATCATATACTCCATACTATCAATTGGACAAGAGCTATCTACAGAAATTTGACTATTACGGCTTTAACTATAACACATCTCATATTGAGCTTTGTTGTATTATAAAACGTTACTATGTAGTATATAGACAATCTTTGAATAGGAACTTTAATCTTAGAACCATAAATAGTTATCAACAAAAGATAGCAACAAGAACATGCAAACAAGCATGCAACATGCAACCTAAGCCATAAGCTCCATGTTGCTGACAAGTTGGAGGCCCAAAATGATCATTGACCTAGAGGTGGGCAGTACCTGGTCAGCCAAACTGGAGAAAGAAGGAGCCTCATCTTGCCTTTCCTTTTGCGGTTGGCCACTTGCCTCAGGGTTGGACTGCAACAGGACACACACAGGTCACAACACCAATGGGTTGACACCTCCCACCTACCCACTACCAGCTGATCCAGGGAGATCCTCAAATATGAAAGGCATATGAGCTAACTTATGCCACGGTCATATTGAGAGAGGGTCGCTCCATTACACACTGTACAGCACAGCAGCGGCTAGTTGTGAGGGTCTCCCGTACCGTACAGTACAAGTAAAAGTTACAAAGAACAGTAGCAAGTGTCACTCAGAAGTAGAGGTGAAGACAAAATAGTTTTCTTAGATGTGTAAAAGTATCATAGGTAAATAATAAAGTACAGTACAAGGTCACACCAAGAGGATACTATACACAAGCTCATACAATAATAAAAATAAACATAAAAGTGCATAGAAACACAAGTCAATAAACCTGCATATCATATTTTTACAAACATGGGAATTTTTGCCTTCATTATCTTATACAGTACCTAGCTATACTCTTCTGCTGCCCAAAAGGTGGAAGGGGACTGATACAGTGTATTTGTATATTTATGTAAAATATGTGAGTGAATGTGTGTCTGAGTGTATCTATAAGAACATCTTTATTTTTTTAATGAATACAAAGCACAGAGAGAGCTCAGCCAACTATTGTTGTTAAATCTATTCATAAACAAGTGTGTGTGTGTGTGTGTGTCTGTGTGTGTGTGTGTGTGTGTGTGTGTATGTATGTATGTATGTATGTATGTATGTATGTATGTATGTATGTATGTATGTATGTATGTATGTACAGTATGTACAGTATGTATGTATGTATGTATGTATGTATGTATGTATGTGTGTGTGGGGGGGGGGATGATTACATAACTTTCTGAACACAATAATTTCTGAGAGAAAGTTGACACAATGCACAATATAATAATATTTACCCAAGCCCTTCCCTCTGTATCCCCAACAAGAAAACATAACAAGGAACTTTTTCTTAAATTACTGTGCATGTTACTGTGTCAGACATCGTTAATACTGCACTTATAAGCTTTCAAAAATATGATGAACTGCCATATAAATATCAAATGTAACACAAGCGTCTACCTGACACATCTGATGGAAGCAAAGGCAACAATAGCTCTGCTAGCTAAGAACTTTGTTGATGTCCATGCATACTGCAGACATGCTAACACTAAAGTATTTTAAAAATAATTTCCACTTATGGGCAAAGAAAATGTAGTTTTATTCCTTTATTCTTCCCAAGGAAAAATAAATTTGTCTTCTTGTGGAAAAACACATGTTTGGTAAATCTTTGGGGAACAGTATTGAATACTATGTAAATTTTTGGATTCTCTACATTCTCTGGGTTGAGATAATTTGTAATATGATGTTTGTGTTATTATAGAGAATAAATCCTTGATGATTCATAAATGTACAGTAATGACAAAACATCGAGGTAACTCAACCACAAAAAACACTCACATAAAACATTCATTACAAGAGATTCCTAATTTTAAATCTTATGCCTGAAACTCATTACTGATAAACATGTATATGTCAAATTTTCCCATAGTTCTTCTATAGCCGAATACAAACTACTTCTCTATGTACAGTTTATGCTATACTGTACCACCACTGTGTTTAGTAACCCTTCGCTCCCCTTCTACTAGCCCAGGGACTCTCACTAAACACATCAATGAATAACTACACACTCCTGACCAGTACACTAAACTATCTACCAGATGAAACACAAATATATGTTGACATCTTAATGGACTCTGGGAACTGGTGAGTGAGTTAATAGGGGTTTTTCCCTTTATTTTTGCTCCTAACATAATCTAAACCTATTAATGCTGATGACACTACTGTTGTCTACATCACTGAGGTGTACTGTATATGCCACCAGGGGACAAAATTATACTCCAAAAGTAACTTACAAATAATAATGATAAGTATACTGTAATAGAACTAACTACTTATAATGGAGTACACTTTTGATTACCCTTAACTTTAAATAGCCACGAATATCACTTAACTAGCTTTGGGTCGTCCTAACACTCTCCACTATTCTTTCGACTAGTTGGAGGACCATAATAAACTACCCACAGTAAACACCTAAGTAACGGAGAGAAGATAATGGACACAAACTGATGAATGAGATGGGACACAAATATTGATCTGAGCCTCATTGTAACAGTAGCTTATGACAACTCTTCAAACTAATGCCAAAGAACCAGGTTTATTATATATCTCTACTCCCTTCAGATGTACCTAAACCATGACATATTTTGCCAATTATTTTTATCACACAATGTTTTTCTACTCAAGACAAAAAAAAAATTATATCATTAGAAAAAACCCACAATGGAACAATTTAATCCGTATAAATGACTTGTAAACTATTGTATTAACTGAACAACCTAAACAACACAGCAGCACTAATAAAAGTCCCAGAAAAATCATACATACTCTTCTGTAATGTTAAATCTCAAGTAAAATCACAAGTAATCATTAGGAAATACAAATGATTAAATGTTGCTTGAGAAAAAAAGATAAATAATGCTGTCACATACAAGACAAAAATATCAGTACCAGTCATGCAAAGATTTCACATAACATTCACTTACAATATTGAAGGACAAGTTCAAATCTTATAGAATCAATTAATCTTTGTTGCATGAGCAGTGAAGGGGGGGTCACTATCACTATTAACCATTGGGTAAAAATTCATATTTGTTTGGAAGTATATATATAAATTGTGCCACGTATATATTAACTAACAAAGGTTTTCACTGCAATACAATCTAATTAGAGGAGCAATCATATCATATACAGTACACTCATAGTCCATATAAAAAAATTAAATAATTTTGTGTGAGGGTAAATTATATTTCACAAACCTTTTGAAATTTAAAACATAATTCAAAATGAATGACGTTTCTACCTAAACAAGTGAAGGAGAGAGAGAAAGTTCAGCTAATATTATGGGAGTATCAGTCATGCAAATAATATGTTTCCTGTACAATAATATGCAGACAAAAGTGCACGTGGAACATCTAATGATAAACTGCTACAATACTGGGGCAGCAACAACTTGGTGCAGGAACAAGTCATAAGAGGGAGGGTGTGACTGAGGCGATGATGAGTGAGAGGAAACACTGGTGAGAATAATAAACCATGCAACACCAACACCACCACATGATGAAACTAACAACATTTCTAAGCATCAGCTGGGAGCGTGGTACCTTATCCATCTGGTTGAGTAGCGACCCTTCCTCACCACTACTCTGCTTCACTACCTCTAGACGTTCCGTCACTTGACTACGGAACTGTTCCGTTAACTGTGGAACAAGTTTAGTGCTCCTCAGTGCCAACAAAGTAGTGTGCGTGTTAACATGAGAGGAAATACACAAATTACTGTGACTTCTAGTAACGTCTATTAATGTCAATACTGAAAACTATTCCCAGTGTTATACTTGTGTTACTATTGTCTAAACTTGCCCAGTGTAACAGTTAGCATAAAGTGATGCATAATTTACTACATTTATTGCTGAAAGATAATCTGACTCATATAAAATTTAATCAATTTTAAAAACTACTTTAAACACACACACACACACACATACATATTCAGTTAATTGAACCAAAAACTCAGACAGTGTTCCTCTTGACCTTAATAATTATAAAGGGTGAAATGTTTTAAAAAAAAAGATAAAAGTTGAACAGCAAAAAACCTGTCAAAAAATCACCATGAACATCATCGTCAATATGAGCGAAAAAATCTTATAACTAAGCAGACACAGACAACAGTAGCACAATAAAATAACTTATGCCTCAAGCAACAATACACAGCAAAACATGATCATACATTTACCAGAAATTTAATCAAGTGAATGTTCTCCTTTACCAACACTCCTACACTTTACACGCTAATATTTTTGTATTTTCCACAGACCATCTCACTCACTGATGCACAAGTCAGGGTCCACATTCTCAGAGATATGTATGATAAAAGTTCCTCAAAAGTGAAAATGTAGAATGAACTTAACTTGATATCTTAAGTTAATACACAACATTACACCGAGAATGTTACCTGACAATGTATAGAAGTAAATGAATGTATAAAGTTAAGATATAGTCTCAATGTAATTAAGATTCTATTTAAGGATGTTATTTCACGCGGTAAATTGTAGAGTTTTATTCCATATTTATTAATAAGGAATAATTTACCGTATTAACTTTTGAAAATGTGTACCCTGGAGAAAAATGTTCATCAACTGTGAGGAGAATATTGATCTAAGGTCTGGGTAATATCTTGTTATAACTAATATGAAAATTAAGGAAATACCAGTAGGGTACAGTGTTTCAGTACACGATGTACACACATAATATAGGGAGATAAAGTAAAAATGACATAACTTGTTTAAGGTGAATGAGTCGTTCTGTTTTCCTTTTTCATCAACTGATATTACTTAGTACCTGAGTTAATACACTGTTCATAGCTCTCTTAATCCTGCATCTCACTCTGTTGTTCTGTACAGTAAATATCACACCAAACTGTCTTGAATGCAAAAAAATTGGTTTCATTTCATAAACGAAATTCCTTTTTTTCATTCGAGTATAAAATTTCTCTAAGTTGTGACAAAATCAAATAGTTAGTTTTAGACTATTAGAATTTGTTTCCATACCTTGTCTACCTGTGACAGGAATGATCCCTCTTGTGAGTTCTGTTTTTCTTTAATCAGCTCCTTGGCAGAGGAGGTAAACTGATCCAAAAGAGAGTTTTGGGAGCACTGTCTTGTTGGTCCTCCCCCTGAGCTCCCAGACCCAAGACTGGATGCTCGGGCTAACATACTGCTGAATGAGCTCTGCTTCTGAGGCGTTGGACTAGCCTGAAGCAGTTAGAAATAAGTTGCAAGCAGACATTAACATATACAATGCATTAATTTACTGTATGAAGGCCAGAGGAGAATGAGTCATGCATTAAGGGTTATAATCAAATTCCAAGAAGCATGTACAGTACTTGCAAATAATTTCAATGTTTACAAAGAAAAATGCAAAAAAAAAAAAAAAAAAAAAAGAGGAAAGTTCAAAATATAAACTAATCTTGGGTGCAAAAATACACAGCTATCCTTTACTAATCTGATGCCAACTATTTTGAGCACACACTAGACAGATGCCCACCCCTTCCTGGTGGTGACTTGGGCATGATGGTGTTAACAGTACTTTCTTCCAATACATTCAGAGCAAAATCTGCTTTTATCATGATTATCTATACTGTACATCTATCTATTATCATTATTTTCTCCCACATTTAAGTGGGTTAGGTCATGAGATACAGAAGCGTCAAAGAAAGAGGGAAATAAGAGGAATAGTAGAGAAAATAACCACGGAAAGCAACAGGAGGTGAGTTCAAACAGCAAGGAGAATTACTCCACACACATCCCCATGTTCTCAACTTGTATATGCAGTAAACAAAGTGAAGCCTTCACCTCACAGTGACTTGGGGTTAAATCACATTAAAAGGATACAGTACACCACATTTAAAAAGTCTTACTCTACAGAGAAACATTGATGTCCTGGAGGACAAATGACAGACTGCTACAGAATGTTGAAAAACAGCTGAAGTACTGGAAATAGGAGAGAGCAAAGTATAGGCAACTTTGCAGAGCTGTTGAGCCCTCAGATTAACACTGAAGTAGAGGACACCTGCCAATGATAAATATGTGTTTGTGGGCTATGTGAACTGCAGTTGCCAGATATCCATAGTGTTACTGGAGCTGCCAAAGGAGAAATATTAAAAAAGTGGAAATGCATTGAAAGCCATTGGAGGTTTGGTAGAGAAGTGCTGATATGATGAGAAGGAATTTTAGTGGTACTGATGAATTGAAATACTTGAAGGTTCCAGAAATATCAGTGTTAAAGAAGTAATAAATTGACACTTTAACAATGTACTGAAAAACCCACAAGTGTCTATATGTTGGCAGAGTAATAATGAAAGAATTTGGGGGATGTATTAAACAGATGGTAAAAGTGTTGGATAAGTGCTGTAGTAGTGATGGAGATTTACAGGAAGATTATTGAGTTATGAAAGCACAGAAGGTGTACTAGAGAACACTGCTAGAGGTGGGACGAACTGATGCTATAGTTTTGTCATGTATTGGAATACTAAATGGGATAATTTTCAGGACTTTGTTACAATTATTGGAATAATACTGAACTGCCTAGGATGCATAAAAGAGGTTAATGGCGACATCTTTTTGAAGGAGTCAGTCTCGGAGAGGTGATGGAGAAACATTGGTGAGGTACTGATACACTTGTGTTGAAGAAAATATAAAAGGATGGAGTAGTGTTGCTTGTGTCAGGTAAAGAATTAAAGACTAATTTTAATATCATACAAAACTGGCAGATTATGGAAAGAATATCCAGCATACAGCCAGCTAGCACCCCCCCCCCCTCCATGACAATCTCCTGATTTCCCATGAATTCTAAATTTCAACAATGACTCACTATTTGCATCCAATCAGAGCAGGTTTATAAAAAATTAAGTTTACATCCAGTGTAAATGTATTCCCATTGAGGCTCAACATTTGGGAAACGTCTTTATATATGGTACAACCCACTCATGAATTTTGTTGCCCTTGGTATATTCTTGGTATAATAACATACCTCTTCCCAAATGTAAAGAAATATCTGGCCCTGATTCAAGGAGTTTTTGAGGCTATTGTATCAGAAGAGGTCACTTCAAGGGAACATATAACACTATTAGCTCATCAACATTTACTATTCCTTGCAGACTGTCCTTGTATCTCTTGAAGGATATATGATAAAACAAACCTTACCTCCTTAACCAATTACTGTACAGAATAAGGTAGTGGGTTTTAGTCATTTAATTGTATCTATTTTTTCAGGCACTTTTACATGTATCATTTAGTTGGTTAGCATGACACTGGTGATATTTGTTTTAAAATTGTGTTTTCTTTTTTAATTCTTGTATTTCAACTGCCAGAGTTAATTAATAACCTTCACTAAGCCCTAATTTCTACAACAGACAACTTTAATTCTTTTTAAATATCATCTAAAATATGAGTTACCCCAAAAGTACATCAGATTAGAGAGGTCCAACTGTTGTAGAAAAGTTCCTCTGTCCCAAGCATTACGTAAATCAAATAGATATGCACTAGGTATCATCATACATCAATGTAACCAATATCCTCCATCAAGTCTTGATCTGGAAATGTAAAACATGAATTGCAAGTGATACCCTATGAGTTAACAGCTAATAAAAGTTATGTCTAGCTTGGGAAAGCTTTACACTGATACCACTGTAGCAGTGAAAAGTTACCATAGGCCAGAAGTGGGTTGTTACTAGCTGGTGGTCAATTCAGTATTACCTGTGACCCACATCTTGTTGTCCTGGGTTGAAGACCTGATGGGATATTGGCTGCATCTTGTAAATCATAAATGATAAAAGAAAATTTATCAAATCACAAAGGAGTAATATAGTACTATGATATCAGAGATAAACAATTGTGATATTTGGAAATAAGATTATATGTTTTAGGGCATATCAAAATATTAAACAACTGTACTGTACCACAAATACATTATTTACTATGATGATGGAAACGTTTATATGTACAGCACTCTCAGATAATTCTTCTAGTGCAGTGAATCATTCCATTAAGACCATTATATCAGTTGAAATGCTCATTTAAATTACAAATTTAGCCAATTAACCAAGACTGCATAAAAAAAAAAGTCAACTCCACTTCATAAATATTTGTATTCTGCATACAATATATAAAATTTTGGATCACATGTAAAAAAAATTCTGAGTGACCAAGAAATTATTTCATATATTCTTAGCATTAATTACAAAATTAACTAAAATACTTTTGTCAGTGTTTAAAAACCCGCGGCAGTTAAAAGCTTCTTTATAAATTTCAAAAATATTTTCCTGCTTTGCAAAAACTCTGATGCCATACAAAATGCATAAGCCATTTATATGCTCAAAAGGTAACTGTAATTATGTATCTGGTTGTAGCATTATGTAATATTTGGTAAAAATGTTTAGTATCAGGCATGTCATGACACAACTCCATCCAAACCATTTCACCCCTCCTCGACTCACCCCCTTAGAGAATGTCCTAGGGCGTGGAGTGGTGGGTCTGTCGCGTTCAGAGGAGGAGGTTGCTATGGAGGCATCGCTACTGACAGAGGGGGTGGGGCTTACATGGGGAAGTGGAGATTGGTTATTGCTCACCACTGTCTTAGGCGTCGTTGTTGCCGAGTCGCTCTCTGGTGTGAAGACCTCGTCATTTTTTTCCTGAAATTTAGGATACAGAATAATGTTTGTAACTGAACATTTTCTTCATGTTATGATATCTGTTACTTCACCAAATGAAAATACAACAAAAACCAAAATGAACAATGTAGGTAACTTTTATATAATGAGAACAATGCTGTAGTGTGTTAAGAGTATAAAAAGTGTTATGAAGGTTGGTCAAAAGATGCAATAATATTATATCCTGTGCCTCTGTCAGTCAACTGTGGGAGAGAAGGACTACACCAGAAAAGAGAAAAAACAAGTAAGAGCTGCCTTCACACAGTGAGCACCCCAGCGTGAGACAAGATTTACAGATGGATGGATCGATGAACAAGTAGAAAAAATGCTTAATGCCCTCAGCCTATGGTGGAGGTATAAATAAAAATTACTGTACGTACATTAGTGTTTTCCTTGAGACAATAAAATATGTGCACACAATAATAAAATTCTAGATAAAACATAATTAAGAATTTATAAAAAGTGAAGGCCATTACCAGTGCTTCTGTTCGGAGAGGTAATGGATGTAACATGGGTGTGGGTGCTATAAGGTTATCAGCATCTTCTAGCCTCATCACACCTTCTCCAGTTTCTTCTTCATCATCATCTCTCTGGTCAGTAGAAGACAGCGAGGAGGGGGACGAGGAGTTCGACATGGAACCAGCATGACTCAGCGCTGCTTGAGAGTGAAGAAAGAAAACATTATTCTTTTTGTATACAAATACATAATGCATTCTGCATATGCTTAACAAATTTCAATATGGAGAATAAGCCATCTCATCATTATAAGTAATTTAGAAAGGGGTAAACTAATGCAGTACTTCAGAATATAAGAAAATTATTAATTACACTGAGAATTGCAATCACACAGCAGTTAATGAACTCATAATCAACTCCAACATCAACTGATCCTATTATGTCTCTCTGAATTTTAGGGTGAAGGAAGAAACAAACTGTATATACTGTACATCTACCTATTTTTATCAGAGAACAAATAGGCATAGTTTAAAAAGTAGCTTACCCGAATCTGAAGAGGCGGCCCCTGGGAGCTGAAGAGAAGAGGGAGGGTGAAAGATTAATCGAGGGTCAAGCCCTGAGGATAGTGTTGCCTTCTCTTTTTCTGTCGCTGCTCCACATCCTGAAAGATAAAATATACAAAGATTATATTATTGAAAATTTACCGATTCTCAGTTACTGTAAGCCAATACAGTAATACTGTTTTGTAAGGTGCAATAAACTGTATGTCACTCTACAAACCCAGTCTATGGAAGAAGTATACAAATTTAGAAATTATTTGGAGAGTATTTTCTTAAATCAATTTTCAGTGAGAAGAAAGTACCTGGGGAGAGGTCAGAGGACTGCATCTCCGACACAAAGTCACTGAGAGAAGAGTAGGAGCTGCTGGTGCTCTCTCCACCCTCAGAGTCACTGCCACTCTCATCTGAAACACCCAACAATATATAACGAAGATATATTAACAATAATGAAGAGATATTAAGAATAATGAAGAGATATTAACAATAATGAAGAGATATTAACAATAATGAAGAGATATTAACAATAATGAAGAGATATTAACAATTATACAAAAAATTATTTATAAAAATGAAAAACAAACTGGTGACTTATTTAAAAACCTGAGGAGCTGGAACAACATATACCTGTGGGTGGATTATCAATCTGTGTGCTAGCTCTCAGTGTTGCACCGAGAGAGCTGCCTTCCTGCCACACCCTGAACCCCATTGGGTCTAGGGTATGGGCGTACCACTTGCTTTTGTCACCTATTAGTGTAGGATCAAAGACTCCGGTGTTCACTCTCAGAAAGGCCATATTTGAAGGTGTTATGGACCACTCTGCCAGAAATTCTACTGCCTGTGAGAAAGAAAACATTATGATGCAAGATGACAAGGTGACAGGTGACAGGAAACAAGAGCAGAAACACACTCCCCCTTCAATCACTATCATTCAATACTTCTTAGTTATGTAACCAATTTGTTCTATGATAATCCCTTTCACATAATGCATATTTTTGTATTATTTCAAGCTTTTTCTTGTTATTCTTTGCTAAATCACTTTCTTTTCTCTAATCTCTCTCTCTCTCTTTTTCTTGAATCTAAATATTTACCTTATTTCATGTGTAAGAGAAGTAGTATCATCAAGAAAACAATGAACCCACCTGTGTGCGTGCAAACATATTGAGGAAAGGTGTGGCTCTGGGTCTGGACCTGAGGAAGGAATTAATCTGGAAAGCCACCACAGGTCTAGGGTACAGACGGAGAGTGCGGGTATGTTCCGTGAAATTGGCGAGAATGTTTTGCGAGTTGAAGAACCGTACCATTGCAACTCTTGTGGCAATGTCAACCGAGTCCACATCATTACCTAAAATAAAAATCATACGTATATTATACAGAACGCGTAATAGACATCGGGTCGGCACTGTGTTTCATGATTATCTCCGAGCTACTGACCATACACACCGCTGACAACTACAGAAAGGGATAAAAATCACCTATCACCACCATTACCATCATCTATCACCACCTACCATGACCTACCACCATTATCACCATTGATCTAGGACAGTGCCCATTTATACATACAGAAAATGGATCACCTGATGATTAACACCCAACTGTATTTCATCTGAAGCTTAACCACCTTCATGTTACCTGGGGATTTGGTTAGGTTAAGGTAGCTTATGTTAAAGTAATGTAAGATAGGTAGGGCAGAGGTGGGTAGGTTAGGCTAAGCTAGTTAAATTTAGTGAAGTTAGATTAGATTAGATTGAATTGGGTTGAGTTAGCTATTTGTGGTTAATATTCAGGTGAAACAATCTGGGGTGCCTAATCTTCATGTGATCCAAGAAGCACTTACAACTTTCTCTGTGTTGAGGAGTATAAAACTGACCATATATAAAGGGGTTGTAGTGTGTGGCCAGGGACTGGTGGTGTTGGGCCTTCTCCCTCTGCATCTCCTCCATGCTCCGGGGTGGAGGCGGCTGAGGAGACATGCTAGCAAGAGCCTGGTGCCAAAGGGAAGGGATATACCACATTAGTATTACAGGAACACAAAGTCGAGACTGACAAAGACACTGTATTCTCACTTCCATTTGAAATTAATCTGAAGAGAATTTTTGGTTTGGGTACAAGGACTAGCATTGCTAATAAACACATATTTAAAAGGCCCAGAGATAACATATACTGCATTTAAACATCAGAATATAATAAAACATTAATCTGCCATCTCTCCAACATTCAAGCTCATGCTTAAAAAATTTCCAATGTGAATGAACCATGGACGGAAGCTTCGATCTCAAGCTCTTTGGGTTGTCTACTACTTACTTATGCATAAAATATATCAGTAATTATTATATGTTTACCGATTCACATTTCATCTCCATTTTAAAACCAGTCTTTATATACTGTACTCCAACAATTGATAAAAATAAAAGATCACAGAGCAGAAATTCTTTTCTCATAAATTCTAAAAATTTGCTGAACTGACAATAAAACTTTCTGCAGTAAAAAAGAAAAAATACTGCACTGGCAGGTAAGTGAGCTGAGAGATTATAAATATCAAGCTAAATGGGTAAACTTTACTTAAGCTGGGAGTTATAAAGGAGTGTATCTCAAACAACGGGGGTTTATTGGCTTTCGGAGTTTATAATAACAGTGATGTAATTTATTAAACTTTATACAGTCTTGGAGTTGAAAATTTAATGGACCAGTATAATAGACTTTAAAAAAAAATGGGTATCTTGGGGCAGTGTGTTGATTAGGGTGAAAGTAACAAGTTAAGAATTCCTTCCTTGACTGTCTAGTGATAACCGGCACAAAGTACTGTACAAGCCTGACAGATGTAGAGCGAACAGCATCTGGCAGACCTACATATATCGTAATTGCTTTGTTGATAGTCAGCTCATGCATTCATGCACTTTCTTATAACTGAAACTGCACCCCAAAATGCAAATAGGAAGGAGAATACATATATATACATACACTATAAATATGGTATACATCAGTGTGCTTTTTGCTTACCAGTTCATGCTTGTTCAACTCCCTCACCCCTGATCTAATACTGTAGAGCAAATATTGAAGTAATATACAGTGAAGGATTACTCAGTTAGCTTTAAAATCCTTACATGAATATTACAAGAGTGTCTCCATAGGTTGAGAGAATCCAGTCCACAATAACACAGAGCTTTAGCTGCTCACATGTGAAGCTTTATTTTTCAATGCAGAAGTCAGTATGATGATTTCTGTAGATTTATGATAAGTAACATTCATAACTAGTCCTAAAGGGAAATTTCTAATTTCTGTACTGTATTTTCTAGTTGGTTTCTTATAATTAACTACTTAATTACAGTAATTACATATGGAACACAAACTATCTTATCCACATCTTTATGAGATGAAGACACATCATCTGTTTGAATTCCATGATCAAGATTCAGTATTCTAAAATCGTCCAGATGATTTCTTTGTACAAAAGAAAGCTGTCACCAAATCTACGAAAATCTGAAACAGGCTACGGCTGAGACATCGTGCAAGTGGCATCAACCCTAACTTTTGAATATTTCAGTTAATAGGCCCAATCATTTATCACAACAATGGTAAAACACATTACAGTAATGGCTCTGTTTGAAGTCAGTAAAATTTATTGAACAACTATGCACAATTCTGGTAGCAGCCATTGCCTTCATCTCTTGATATGAATGGGTCTATTAAGACTCATCCAATGTCACACCCACATATATTAGTAATTGTCAAAAAAATTATAAAAGGTTTTATAAATGTATTATATTATTAATTTATTGGACAATTACTGAACTGAATGTTGTTGTGTATCCAGTACAGTATGTGGTTGGGTACAGAGGTTCTGACAAAAGTGTAACAAGGAGACTATTGCTTGGAGAAAGTTGACACATTGGTTATTTTTAACGTTTTGAGATAAATTACAGTGTTTTCATAATTACTGTATAGTCTTAAGACAAACTCAAAATGGTAAGATGATCTGGGCACACAGGCCTGACACCTTTGTCCAGAATAAATACTGTAGTCAAATAAGTTCACCAGCATCACTGTTAAGGCTATATATGTACTGTACTGTATGTGAAGAAAGAATTGAAACAAGTAATACATCTCAAGCAAGACTCTCCTTCATAAGGCAGCAAAACAGCAACAGCTCACTAAAAACTGATTAAACTTGTGTACTACATGTCAACCACGCTTGACAAACCTCATCCATAGATTTTATAGCCTGTAGGCGGAGCGGCATGGAAACATTGGGAAGGAACAGGAGAAAGAAAAAAACAGTGAATACAGTAAATGAGATGGTTTAAGGGATCATGGGAGAGTCACAGGGGAGGGGGGAGGATAAAGATGGAACACAACAACTACTCCCCAGTAGAGTAATGGTCTAACTTGACATCTTACACAATACTGTATTATTATTATTTAACGTTGGTTACTAATCCCTCTCTCCCCCTTCTTTAGATAAGCAGGTACTATTTATAACTGTACTGTATTTACTAAGTTATTGTTCATTATTAAGTATCTCATTTTTAAATCCCTTTTGATAAATGTTGACTTATTGATTTTCACTAAAACAGAATCTTGTATTACTGACCCAAACAAAAGGTGTAGTACTTAATTTACATCTAAAAATCTGGAATAACCCTAAATACCATTACAGAATACAATATTTATATTAAATATTTAAAGAGAACACAGATATAATATATCCTTAGACACAAAGGAAGACGTGCGAAGTACCATGAAACAGCCTAAGATGTGTACACATGCAAGATGTACATCAATTTAGACCCAGGGTGGCCAGCTCATTCTTAGCCACAGGGAACTGCACAAGTCAAAATCTTCAAACCATTGTAAGTTAAATACAATACAGTAACTGAAAACAGAATGTTCTCCTTTAAACGCATGAGTCTTATCAATATGACATGCAACCTTCAACCATAACTATGATACCTAGACTAAATAAAGCCATGAAAGTTTGACAAAGATCATCCCATTCATTTTCTTGCGCTAAGGACAGAATCATCATAAAGACAAAAGTTGGAGCATGCGCACTGATACCACAGAGCGGGCGAGTGAATGTAGGGGAAACAGAAGCCTACACCTCTACTAATGAAGGTGTAATAATAGTGTAGATCCCTTCTATGGTAATTCAAAGGTTACAGATCAAATGGGCTCCAATCCTGCTAAGACCCAAAGAAATAAAACCTATTGATCTGATTAGGTTAGGTTAAGTTAGGTTAGGTAAGTATAACTCCTACTCAAACTGGTGCTCACTTGACCTACAGCCCTCAGAACACCACAGAAGCAAATCTCTAATTGTCTGGATTAAAGTGAAAGCAGGTAGATTATGTATCAAGAATTGTAAATATATCTACATTAATATTTTATTTTCTGCAGTTAAATTAGGGTGTGATTGATCAGTTATGGGGGTAGTGGAACTAGCTCTGTCTTCATCAAAATCTGAAGTCAATGCAATTCCCAATAAATAAGATAGACTTAATTGTCTACCTTATGGGCAATGGTAACCTGATCCTGAGGTGCATGGTAAAGGTATAATGTATCTCTCAAGGTACCCATGAGGCTGTGTAAGCCCAAGTATAGGTATAATGTGTGTGTGTGTGTACAGTAGTGGGATAACAGTACAGTACATTATTCAAAGAGTTAAATATACCTGTAGTAGAAGAGGAACACAAGAGAGACTAGTACAGTACACATAAGTATCCCCGTAGTGGTGGGAGAACAGGGCAGTGAGAGCACACCTGGGCTAGTGGAAGTACACAGTGAAGTGGTAATACACTTCTACTAGTGGGGACACAGGAAACAGAGAGACATAGATAGTTCACCTGAGCTAGTGTGGGTACACAGAGAAGTGAGAATACACCTCTACTAGCTGTGATAAACGGGAGATAAAGAGAGACACACTTAGGCCAGTGGGAGTACACAGAGAAGTGTTAATACACTTTAACTAATGAGGATATACGGGGAGACAGAGAGAGCAAGAGTACGCCTGCACTAGGGGGGTACACAGAGAAGTGATAAAACACCTCTACGAGTGGAGATATACGGGAGACAGAGAGAGAGACAGTACACGCAGGAAGTAGACAGCCGAGACAGAAGATAATGTTTACAGCCACAACATCACTTGAGGATTTCAAATTCACACAGACGTGATGAAAAGTCATCCTCAGGAGCATTAAGATTCTTCAAAAGCCATAAGGAAGTTTAGAAAGGTTAAATAATGGATGGAATATTGCACAGACAAAAAAGTAAGAAGGGAGACACTAGATATGGAAGTAATCCTACCCCAGCTTCAACAGTTAGTTGATGAAATTTTGAGTACCAGTTAGTCTGGTAGAGGCCATGGATCTGACAACCCACGGGCGGGTGGCAGAGGAAAGAGAAGTATACAGCCATCACAAGATGTTCACACACTCACACACTCACTCATAACAGCAAAATTAAAACACTAAAAAATATATTGAAACATCTACTTTATATGATTGAATTATCTATGTCCTTATGTTCTCAATATTATACATTTTTATATATTTCCCAGTAAATCATGCTCTTATGATTACATTCATTATAGGTAAGTTAACACTCAACAGAGTACAGTACACCAAATGAATGCAGAAGGTTAGCTTTTGTATGTCATTTGTTACTCAGATTTGTGTAAAGTACAGTTCTCTTCACATATTGCAACACACCAGTGTCCAGCACATGCCCATAAGAATCTCAGACGATGTTAAATAAATACTTCCACAGAGCATTTACACCATACAGATGTCACACTAAATTCACAAGCCAAAATTTTTGGCAATCTAAATCAACTTTTTTTCTTATAAACACCTAAAGCTCCTCCAAAAATCTTGCAAAACTTACAAGAATCAAAACAGTGAGCCAGCAACACCAAAAAACACCAGACACAACACAGCAACACTACTGTACACTGCCAAGACTTACAACATGAAACTTTTATATACCAGTATCAAAAATGTTATATACATCAGCTACACAACAAAATACAGTACATGAGGAAAGTTTCTTTGTGATTTTCTGTTAAACTGAAAGCCATTGCAGGTTCTATTTAGTTAACTACTGTATGCCTGCAACGCCATACATGAATTGACACTTTGTTCACCGAGAGACAGACCCACTTTCTCGTTCCTTAAAGACCTCAAGAGACAAGCATCACCCAGTGTTTCCCCAATGGGTCTCGTCTTTAGGCACACCTACACTGTGCCACTGTATGTTTCTTTATAATATAATATCACTCACACTGTATCACTGTATGTTTCTTTACCACATAATATCACTCACACTGTTTAGTTCTGTGTCACAAACTATAAAATCTAAATTAATCCTCAATGGAGATAATAACCCTTTATTTATCATAACTGATTCCCCTCATGGTTCCTCTTCTCTGCCTTTTCATATTCTTATTTAGCTTACGCTTCACCTTTGGTGTATACTTGCTGTGGAAACTGTGTTTTGGTGCATATTTGTATATTTGTTAAATAAACTGTCTTTTTATTGAATTATTGTTAAGGCAACTCTGTTTCTTGGTGCATATTTGTATGTGTATGCAAGTAACAACTCTATTTCTTACATGTTACCCAACTAAAGCAGAATTTTTCAATACATATTCCAGGCAGTGCTTGTTGATGACAGATATTTAATCTTTGAGGTGAGGATGGTCATTAAGTGAAAGATTGTACATGTGATAGCATACTCTATGTGAAAATTCATACTTTATATTCATTATTATAACACTGCTCTATGCACATACGGGGTCAAGCCATCACAGTGTTTGGTATCCTGTCACTCTCTTACTACAAATCTGGCAACTTTTTCCACACATCTGCCACCAGCAACACCTACAGCCACCTACACACTGCCGACATATGCATCAATCACTGGATTCTTGACTGACCATAACAAGTACTTTAATAACAAAAACTTACAATATTCCTATACAATTCTTTAACTTCTGTAATTTATGCATATTGCAAACTAGTGATACTCTACAGCAATATGTCTGATTATATCTCGTGAACTAATGCTAATACAATATATTTCCCACGTCCAAACATTCTTTACTTAAAAATTTACCGGTACATACAAAAGTTAAATTGTTATAGAAGACACTAAAGCTATTACGCACATGAGGCAGAAGACTTTTGCTTGCACTGTAAGAAATCATATTAGGGTATCTGTGAGGTGAGGTAAACCAAAGGTAAAGAAGAAGAGCGGAGTGGGAGGAAGGGAGCAAGACAAAGTTAACAGATGGAATATTAACTTGGCTGTAAACTACTGCAGATTTAAAACCCTTCCTTACTGCCTGGTTGACCTAACATACATTAGCAGTGCTTTGGTACATGTCAAGTAGAGATGTAAACCATGCAGTAAGGAAGTGGTTAATAATATGTAACACTAGACCTGTAAGTTTAAACACAGTGATAATTTATCCACAGACAAAAAGAAGATCTTAAGAGGACCAAGATATTCTTCTTTTTATAAACCAAACTTTTCCCATATACAGTATAGCACCAATAATGATTCATCCTTTTATATACGGTACATCTGGCTGCAACTATAGCCACCTCAAGTACAAATCCTTCCCATACAAATTAAGCCACAGTTATTCTACCTGAACATCACAAATTAAGACAAAATATAACATGCAGTGACACAACAGTCACAACTGATATCATCTTGTCAACAAGATGTACTTGCTAAATGTATGTATAAAATGTGCAGTTTCTCACCTGTTTTAAGTGATTCTTGAGGATGGTGCACTCCGGTTCTGGGAGAGGTGGAATTACATCACCGGCTGGCGGTGCTGTAATTTTGTTGGCATCGAGGTCCACCAACCAGACATCGTCGGGAAGCCTGATGGGGGCACGCAGAGGGAGGCTCAAGGCCAGGAAAGATGACAACTATACTGAGTGCTATACAAAATTACTACTAATATAATGAGTGCTTTAAAACCTAACACACATCAAATATGAGACTTAAGATAAACAGTGGATAAAATGAACACAGTAATATTAGTTTATTAATATAATGTCCAAACAATGTGCACAAATACTGATTTTAATTAATAGCAGATAAAATGAATAATACAGTACAACGTAATAAATATCATTACTGTACTGTGCAGAACTAGTGATAATAATGAATGCTGGGAAAATGAACAATATTAAATCATGAATAACTAATAATGTGCAAACAGTACTGTATAATATTTCATCAAGTGCTAGACAATAAGGCATGAAAGTACAATAGCTGATACAGTACTTAAATTTCATACAGTAATAAATAAAATTACTATAGCATACAATATTGTGCAGCAAGTTAATCATAACAAGTGTAAGGAACAGTGGAGGAAGAGTATTAGCTACACAGAGTAAATTGTGAGCTGGAATAAGAAGATACTTTTAGGCCTCAAACCACAGAAACACAACCCCTTAAAATTCATACTCTATCATGGGACACAGTAAAGCATTATGATACAACTCCTAAAATGTGAGCAGCTTAAGACACTTTTATATGGATAACTATAATGTATCGTAATATGCCATCTGCCAAGCCTTTTTCCCACATGGTGTAGAATGGGCAGAATGAAGGATCATCATCAACTATCTTTCACTGTCATTCATTCATTCTCTATAGATGTCATTTTCCTGATAATAAAATGACTGTCTTAAACAATTACTTTCCTCTGCTGCTATTTTCGGTCAGCTTTATAAATATTCATATAGTCAATCCTCTTCCAGTCCACTATCTCTGAAAGCCTAAACTGTTTTAGTTTCCCTCTCAGTGTTTCATTATTCCATTTGAAAAGCAAAACCTTAATTGTTTTCTAAATTCTTACACTTCAAACTTCTCTCAACAACTCTATATCAACTGGGGTATCTCTAAGAACCTATATTAAATAAGGAAGATAGATTAAAATAACAATGACAAATATAAATAAAGGAACAAGAATATCGGAAATTTAGCACAGTAATTGTTATATATTATGGCCATCTCTTCCACATTCACAATGGTGTTCAAGTTATGTCCATATATTTCACATTCATAATACAGAATCACATACAACTTCCATATGTTTATTTCATGTTTATCTGTTCCACATTTATAAGACTGACAGATGCAAAGTCTTCCAGGTACAGCAATTGAGACTCATCACCTCCACACCATGCTAGTGTCAGATCAATATTGTGTTCCAGTTACCACAAAAGTGAATGCGATTCTTCCTTCCTATCATCCTCTCATCTTTCCCACTTGTATGGAATGGAAAGTGGACAGACACCTCAAAGAAAACGAGGAAACAACATGGAAGATGGTGTGAGACAAGAGCGAGAAAGCAAAAAGAGGAGAACCAAGTTTACATGTTGAAATACTTGTACTTAACTCACAATCATTCATATCATCAACTTCCAATTACTCATGTTAAAAAGAGATCAATTCATAAATATATTCAGACTGAAGCTTAACTGATAAAAAATTAGGAATTTTAACACATCACAAGAAGAATAAAAAAAAAATTAATTCCTGTACAGTTCTTATCAGAGTGTGGAGGCCAGATGAATACTGTACTAAATGAACATACAGTAGTGTAGTGTATATACAAACCAACACCAATTGAGTTTAATCACACAACAATTGCCTAAGAAAAAACTGGAAAACTGGAAAATCAAATCAGAACAAAAAGAAAAAAACAAGTGAAAGTGACACAAACAGTACAGGTAAAAAAATATATAAATAAATAAATAAAAATACCGTCCCAATCAAAGACGATGTGGGATAGAAAATATGGAAAGAAAAAATAAATAAATTACATTAATAGTGTACATGAAATTCATTTGCTTTTTCAACACTCCATTATACTCACCCAAAGTGTTTCTTGTAGAGGAGAAATGATGCTGGAATCCCAATAATGTATGGAGTTGGAGCCAGGAGAAGCTGCTCTGAACAGCTCATGCAGGTGGGCAGCAGAGGGATGATCGGGAACATGTACTCCAGTGGGTAGATCATGCTAACAAATGCCAGCACTGACATAGAGAGGGCATTGTTGTCCCTAGACTGCATCACCACCTGCCCAGAGACGAACATAAATATATATACATCTGTAGATCTTACTTCATATAATCAACTATATTTCAGAATTAAAATACTTTATAGGGATTCATAGTTTTAGATATTATAGAAAAATATGGTGTCCCCCATTGCTAAAGGTTAAAGATAGGATTATATAGGGTCAATGGTTTTAAATATCATGCTTGTTGGGTCAATATGTAGGAGAGATAATTTTTTTGACCCCATTACTAAAGATCAAGGGTCAGCTAGTATACAATAAATATGACTAGAGAGAAGAGCAAATAAAACATGGCTGGATATTCCCCTACACTTATATATTTGAAGACATTATGGACACCTTTTTTTCTACGACAATTGGTAAATGTCTCTTATACAGCCATACTTCATATACAGTACTTTATCCTCTTCACCACTGATCGCTTATACACCAAAAGATACTGATAAACAATTCTCACCACAATGTTTATGAACTAAGAGATGTATCATAAGGGTTCAAGTAACTGCCATTAAAACAACATGCCTAATATCCACCATAACATTCTCAACTCTGGTCTCTCTCTACCAAGTTTTCCTCTCAATAAATTAATATGAGACCTGAGTGACATTCATGATTTGTATGAGTTGTGTATACACTGGCCACAGAACATACTTGGCCTATTTTCATCTTTCATACTATGGTTTCTACCCGACCTCATCACAGAATTTCCTTCACATGGCATACTGGTGTAAAGCCTTCCTAAAACTAATCCTGTTGCCACTCTTGTAAACTTTTCCCCACTATAAATTAAGTTGGCTGAAATGAAGACCATACTCTCTCTCTCTCTCCCTCATTCAATATCACCTTTTCTTGTTCATATGCTTTAAGATCTGTGTTGCTCTATATGGTAATTTACATGTTGCTATTTTCATGTTTTAATTCTGTGACCTCTGTACTACCATGATTATCTTGGGTTCATACCTTCTGCTCAAGAATGATGAGTGTCAGGACCATGAGACAGGATTCAACCCCCAGTAGTTCGAGGGGTAAGTGAAGGGGGAAGTCAATGAGTGAGAAGCGTGTGTGATCTGGCAAGGCAAACGTCAAGGGCGCATACAACTCTCTTGGCAGCAGCTCCAACTGTGAAAAGAATCATGGTTACTGAGTAATAGCTTAGGTATAAGTGGGTGATAAGTTAGCATTTACTAAAAGGAGGAAAATTATAAGTTTTATTCATGTACTCAATCCAAACTATTAAACAAAATACAATATGTGATTGCAGTGAATTAAAAAAAAAAATTTACACAAATATTGCAATTAGACAAATCATTTCCTGTACCTCAACTCTGGTCTTGCCGGGGACACACACAGGAGCAGACAGGAGACGTAGGATCCACGTTTCAATCTCCCGGACATCATGCATTATAATGCTAGGTATACCATCATGTGGCCGACCTGTCATCACACTCCACACAGTGTCCCTGTAAACATTGACACAGATGAAGAGAATTATATTAAAAAATGGTGAGAATTATGCCTTATTATTCTTACAAGCCTTTCCTGCTATGATATCAGGTAACAGGCAAGAGCTAGTTTCATTAAAGGTTAGAGCACCCAACAGTATATAGTCATTTTATTGCCAAATGTGCATGTGTTAGTTACCAGTCCCAAACCCCCCCAGGGCTAACTGTGTCTTGGACGGGTAATGGGGACACTACATCCCTACAGCTATTAATGTAATTTATATTTCCTATAAATTAGATCACAATGACTTAGTTTTCAGAGAAGTATTAAGGTATCATTAGATCATTAAGCACATGATATAAAAGGTAAAAACTTGTTGACATTGTGAGAGTGATGATGAAAACAAGACTGGGGTATAACATGTGGTCTTTTGGCTATCATGTTGGGGTAAAACTGAGATAATGAAAACAGACATCATAATAAACTATCTACACATGATTTAACAATGTAGGCGTACGTTATCTAATTCACGAGACCATACACAAGGTGGGAAAAAAATAAGAAAGTTGTAAGCGAGTGAGGGTGTCTATCCGACGATTTTGGGGTAATGTGTAGAGCTGACGGTGTGTGTAGAGAATTCCACATGTATTACCCTGCTGTATAGTGGAGAGAGTATACAGTATAAATATACACGTATGGACAAAATAGAATCGCTTGGCTCAGTGTATTATATTATGCAGCAATACTGTTATTACCTAAAATCAATGTGGTGTTTATGTCCACAGTAGGATTTTATTGTTTATGATACACATATTCAAACTTAGGTTATTTCTACAACTGATCATTATTATCATCCCTATTAACATCTAAATGTATTCATATATGTATAGTTTAAGAATAAAATACACCATTATCCTTCTTTGACTCCTTATACAAGTTAACACTCGGTAACAGCTCAGTATTTTTCTAACCTGTTGTTCTGCCGTGATGCTCCGACTCTTCTGGGCGAGGCGTTCTCATTACAGGCGTCTATCATCCGTCGCAGGAGAAAGAGACACTCACGGAAGGCGCTGAAGAATGGATGGTGTGACAGGATGCATAGCGAAGTGAGTGAGTGATTCCGAACACGCTGTGGAGGGAAATCCAACATTAAATACAGTGCATTCTTTTGTCATATACAGTACTGTGAGTGGACGCAGTACAGTTGTCTTCCACTATCTTACAACCATATCAATATTGATTCTTTAAGTTGTCTGTACACCTTGATCGTCCCCATATAAAAGTGAGAGGAGTAAAGATAGCAGATATAGAGAGAAAACCCATTAAGAGAGAGAGAGAAAGAGAGATAAACATGTTAGGGGATGAAGCTCACAACAGTACACATGACCTACTTCCTCCTGATAGCTTCACCTGCAGGGGCCCACATGCCTCTTGCATAATGGCAGGATGACACACCAACACAGATCATTTAGCTTTACAAAAGATATGATACAGCATTTATATTTACCTGTCTCTTCCTAGCAGCTCTGGGTGAAGGCGAGTGTGAGCCTCCTGTGTCGGAATCATTAGCAGGAACATTGACCCCAAGACGTGATGCTGGCGAGGTAGATTCAGAGTCCCGTCGAGAGGGTGGACAATCTCTCTCGCTGTCGCTAGGTGCCAGGGTTGATCGCTGGTCACTGTAGGGGAGCATACATCTGCTGAGAGCTTTAATTTGTCAAAAGCCAATTAACTACGGTTTAGGGAGGGAAGGGTCAGAAAAAAAATCTCCAGAAATATGTTAGTGATTGAGAGAATGGGTAGATGTATCTGTCCTAAATCTTATACTATAACATTGTCTATGGTCAGCATACACAAAATAATAATATACAGTACAGAAATAGATATTTTATTCTATTTTTCATATTGTGTGTCAAGTGCAGTATAAAAAGCCTCTAGGTAAGCCATGCAGTATTAATGGTCAGCACTAAGACACATGACACCTTAAGAGTCATATACCTACCTAGAAAAGGCCGAGTCGGAGCTCTTATCTAAGCTGGTCCTCCAAGACTCTCGCTTAAACGATGACCCTCGATCTCGTCCTCTGGTTGCAGATAAGCCGCCGGCAGTCCCTCTTTCCACAGCCCGATAAAAGTTGGCACAAATGCCAAACCGAGTCTTGCCTGAAAGAGAAACATCACAATTAGAACAAAGTGAAGTACAGTACCTATGGACACAACATACAGAATAAATGAGGAAATCTTCAATGTATACAAGACTTAAACTGGGATGGGAAGGTAAAATGCAATCCAATCAATTTCTTCACTATATTCAGCTCGGCAAGTTTGTTCTTGAGGTCTGTTTAATAACTCCTGTTTTCCTTATCTCTCCCCTTAAAGTGTATTATATGACTTAAAGTAAACTAATATGTTTAAAAAGATCACATCAAAAAATACTGAGAAACGGTAAAAGAAATACTGTATGTTAAATTTTAATGGTATTATTTTACTTTAGGACATAGAGCACCTGAAAGTTATAAACTACTGAAACATTTAGGTTAGTTTAAGCTAGGCCTATTGGGGTTAGGTTAAGTTTTGTTAGGTTAGGTTTTGTTTGGTTAGATGACTCGCTTTCTCACCCACCCAAAAGCAATTTCCCAGGCTCTCCCCATTATTGTTAGGAGGGAGGGGGCAAAACGAGGAATTTCTGCCAAAAATAAAGGTCAGATTCGTTTAAAACACACCAAAATAGGTAAATTTACATAAGTGCACACAACTCTGTTAGAAAGTAAAAAATATGTGTTTCTGGTGTATTTATGTGTGTTTAGATCGGTTATGACCTTCATATCCGTTGGAAATTGGCAGATTTTTTCATCTTTTTGTTTTTTGGTGGAGCATTTTCCGACAAAAATTATGGTGAAGCGAATACAAAATACAAAAAAAAAACAGAAAAACATAAACCTGACCTGACCTGACCTGACCTAACCTAACTGACTCTCACCATATGTTGCAATCACTTATTTCTTACCTTATTGGCCTGGTTGTTGGAGTTACCACAATGCCACATATGTTGGTCTTGACAATATTTACATTCATTCTTACACTCAGGACACAAACAAATCAAAACTAAAGTTGACAGTTGATACACACAGGGTCGTCCAAAAGTGTTGTTATTTTAAGCCTTTCTTGACATACACTGGATGTCTTAAACCCCACAATACTCTACTATTCCATCACTTTATCAACAGGAGAAGTTTTAAAGTTCCCAGTCCCTTTAAATGACCACACGCACATTAAAGAAAATATTCTGATGATAATATATTTACGTTAAAATCACTTACAAATGTTACCTTATAATTTGTTTATAAGCTTTGCATTTTAATTATAAATATTATAAAACATAAATTAGACCCGAAATGCAGCCACAACTTTACTATCAGCTTTACTATCAGATTTCCTTGCATTTTAATCTTCTGGCATTTAATCGGATTGAGCACTGTATTATGGGCGTTTTCTCCCGAGGAATGTGAAAATGTTGTCCACTGTAATAGACCTTTAAGTGTAGTTCAGTTAAAGTATACAATTTGAGAATACTCCCGTAAAATGAAAGGTAATGTAGAGTGTAGGAAGGTAGCGATGGAATACAAAAACAGTATTAATAAGTGAAAACATTCATTGTATTTCTATTTCTTAACATACCATTAAACTAGATGTCGACAAAATATAAATAAAATGCTAAACAAATATATATCCAGTAGTATATTGATAGGTCGGTTAACCTTTTGTTCATCCCTGTTCTTCATACACACGTGGGGAGAGGAGAGGAGGAAAGGGGGAAGGGAGCCGTAAAGGAGGAGGGAGGGAGGGAAAGGGAAGGGAAGGGAAGGGAAGGGACGGCCAGCACGAAGATGAGGATGGTCTCCCAGTGTCCCAGGTGATCCCCATAAAGCCCCTGTCTTGATTACCTCCTGCCCAGGTGGCTCTGATGGGGGGTGGGTGGAGGAGAGGGTTTTTTGGTGGGATGGGGTTGTGATGGGAGGTGAGGCGAGGATGAAGGGAGAGTTTGAGATAAAACATGAGGAGGAGAAGGGGAAGATTAAATAGAAAAGTGTGATGGGAGAGCATGGGAAAGGGAAGGAGAGACGAGGGAGGATACGGAAAAATGATGGGAGGGTAATAAATGGGGAAGAATCATTGGAGAGAGATGATGAAAGAAAAAAAAAGGGTGAAGGGGGGAGGGTGGAAGAGGGAGTGAGTCCATTCCTCACCATCATCACCCAAGTTAGTTTAGTCATCAGTGAGGGAGAGTTGACAAAGGCTACCCTCTCACTGTTATTCCCGCCACCTCTTAATGTTAATTCTATCTCCTAATTGATACTAAGTGACTGTATTTAGTTGAGTCTTAATGCACTTTAAATGTATTTTTGTATCTTTGTTTAAACTTAAGGAAGAATTATAATGTATTCCGAGGAAGTTGTTTACCAAGGTGACGTGTCCCAGCAGCCTGAAGGAGAGGGGATTCAGCTGCTAATTAATTAAGGTTTCCTCTGACATATTACCCGCCTCGGGTAATAGCACGCTCCAGCTAACAGTAATTACACCATGTTATTCATTATTTTGGTTTTGTGTTTATGTAAGATAATATTGCATTCTTTTAACTTTTCTGTAATTCATCGTTACGGTGCTTTTGCCCGATACAAAATGAACGAACGTACGTAATATTGAAAGTCCCAGCGGAACTATTTAATTTTTACCTCTACTGTATCTAAATTAGATAGTTAGATGTATTTTTATATATATCCAGCAAGGAAAGAATGTAAAAAAAAAATACGAATAATTGAGAATCTTGGTGGAAGTGTAAATAAACTCTGAAATGGTGTGAAACTGTCTTTGTTCCGGGAAACTAATAAATTGTTCTGGGTGGCGGCAGGTGTTGTAGCCATGACCTAGTTTATTTTTTACACACTTTTTTTAGTTAAGGTTAAGACTTCACGGCTGAAGTTTTGACGTCATCTGGCCAACAACTCATATCTGGAGGTAGGAGGAGAATTGAGCCCCAGAACCTTCAAAGAATTCTGGCCTGGTCCCCCGATATTGATTTTTGAGGTCAGTGATGGTAAATAGTTGTGTGGTGGTGGTGGTGGTAGCAGTGATGGTAGTGGTAGTGATGGTGGGAATGAGGCTATGGTCAGGTCCACCGTTTTCCACAGTGACAGGAAAAAAAAATGGATTGGAGGCGGTCACGTTCTTTGTAATTCTTTTAACATTGAACAGCTGGTGTGTGTGTTGGTCCAGAAGCGGCTCGTGTGCGTGTGTGTGTGTGATCGAAGAGGTATACAGTACACGACCACTAATTCTTAACGCCACACACACACACGCACACACGCACACACACACACACACGCGCGCTCCTCCTTAACTAACTGTATTAATTAACAATTCAGTGACGTAAACATTCCCAACATCTCATTAAAGCCAAGGGTAAGATTAAACCACCTGTTGACAGTTGCTGGGGGTAATAAAAGTTTGCTTGTTCGTTTGTGCGAGAGAGAGAGAGAGAGAGAGAGAGGTGTTTGAATATGACTCTCTCTCTCTCTCTCTGTGTGTGTGTGTGTGTTTAAAGGTGAAATACGCAGTAACAGCAAAAACAAAACAACAGCCACTACCACCACCACTACTCCTGCAAGCTACCACCACCACTACTCCTGCAAGCTACCACCACCACTACTCCTGCAAGCTACCACCACCACCACTACTCCTGCAAGCTACCACCACCACTACTCCTGCAAGCTACCACCACCTGCACTACCACCATCATCATCAACCAGGGAGGAGGAAGATGAGGAAGCCACACGCCACTACACTATCGATTTACCGTGCTCATATTACCACACCTGTCTACCACCACACCTGTCTACCACCATACTTGAACGTCCATCTTCCACTCAACTCAAGAGACAGACAATATTGGAAATGTAACACGGACAGGACAGCAAATCAATTTATTCTGCAGGAACTGACCTAAAGTGACCTTGTGATCCCAGGATAGTTCATATTCGTGGTATTCTCCCAACACTATTCATATTACGGGTAAGTATTAATAATTTACGAGTCCTTTTAAATCAGCTCTTTACATTATCTTCCTCCATTATCATCCTTAGACTGTCACTTGAGTTTTATTGTTTCTTTGTCCACATGACCACAACACAAACCTTTACTCACCAATGGCAGAATTTATTTTTTATCTTTCATTTTACATGGCTTTGGTTTCTATTTATACGACCAATATTAAAAGTCCCGGATTAATTTTACGTGAAAAAATATATCCGTTCAAAATTTATAAAGAAAACAAATTTGTAATAATAAAGAGGTTCAGATTTTAACTAAAACTGTAAATCGTTGGGAAAAAAAATTACCGCTGAGGAGTGACGTCATCAGTAAACAAACTTAATACGAATAGTGACGTCATAGCTTCCGTAATGGTTGATGTCAAGGTTTGGTTTGGTTGAGTTAGGTTAGGTTAAGTTAAGTTAGGTTAGGTTAGGTTAGGTTCAAGATGAGTTACGGTTAAGTTAGCACCAGTAGAGGAAGCGGCGAGGGGGGCGTGGCTAAGCAACAGAGGAAGGGGGGGCGGTGTGTCGGGTTGTGCCGCCCCAGCCTTCACACTCCCCACTAGCCTCCCACGCCACCCATCTCCCCACACCACCCATCTCCCACACCACCCATCTCCCCACGCCACCATCTCCCCCACACCACCCATCCCCCACACCACCCATCTCCCCACACCACCCATTCCCTCACACCCATCTCCCACACCACCCATCTCCCCACAGACCAACGCATCTCCCCACGCCACCCATCCCCACACCACCCATCTCCCACGCCACCCATCCCCACACCACCCATCTCCCACACCACCCATCTCCCCACACCACCCATCTCCCACACCACCCATCTCCCACGCCACCCATCTCCCCACGCCACCCATCTCCCCACACCACCTATCTCCCCACACCACCCATCTCCAAGCCATCAGCACATTCCCACCACCAACTTAAGTTCAGAAGGAACATTCCTATTTTCCCACCACTACCACCAGGGGTCTCCCTATTAACTACTACTACTACCACTAGCCACCATCCAGGAACTTAATAAACCACCTGCTACCACCACCATTTTCACAC